CAGCTCCCTGTCCTCCCCAGCCAGCTCAGTTCTCTTAACAGCCATACCTCCAGCTCAGTTCTCTTACCAGCCATACCTCCTGCTTTGTTTTTTCTCCAGCCATTCCTACAGCTCAAGTTTATTATCGATCATCCCTCCAGACCTCTTCTTTCCCCAACCATACCTCTAGCTCTCGTCTTTACGCTAGCCACATCTCCAACTCCATGGCCTTCCAGTCACACCTCGTAACTCCATGCCTTCCCAACCATACCTACTGCTCTCTTCTTTCCCAAGTCAAATATACAGCTATATTCTAACTCTAGTAATACCTCCAGCTCTATTCTCTACCTTGTCATTTCTACAGCTCCTTGCCCTCACCAGTCATACATTCAACTCCCTTGTATTTCTAGTCATACCTAGTGATATCTACAGCCACTGTAGACTGAGCACATCCTCTGCTAATGCAGTGGAGGGGGCACTGTTGGTCCCCCCTGGATCAGCCCCTGCTTAGAACAGCCTGCCAATAAAATTTATTTTATTCAAAAATTATTAAATAAAAAAAAAAACATTTACTTGTTATCAAAATCAAAATAAATAAAAAGTGACAAAATATAGAGGTGGTGCTGTGCAGGTATACTTGCCCTGTATCAAAAGTTTCCAATAAATAAGGTAGTAGGAAGCCTTGTGCAGCTCAGTTCACTGAAAGACATCCATTAGTAGTACACATCTTGAACAAAGTGCAGCAAGAGGCACTCCCAAAGTGTAGCATTTATTTATTCAATAGTAATATATAAAAATGTAGACAAATCATACTCAAAGATGGGTGCTAGCATACAGGCACATATAATAACAGCACACTTATAATCAGCCAAACCATGTTTCTCAACTGCACTGTTCCCCACAAACTCACACCTGTGTCCAGAGATTGAAATGTAGATATACATAAACCAATTTATATAAAATCAGCATTATATGTAACAGACTTTTGCCCCATGGGGTAGCACCCCCGTAACCCTCATCCTCCTCTTCCTGCTTTAGAAGGGGATCCTGAGACTCCACTACATGGGAGTTGGGGTACAAACAATTGGCAGCAACTCCACCTGACTGAGCATCCAGGCCCTGGCAGGAACATAATAAATACACACATAATACATATAAACTACCATACACAGCAGTAACAGTAAAACATTAAGAACATGTATTAAAGGATAATGTCAGATAAAGGTGGGGTAAGTAATACAGTGACTGACTAAGCACACTAAAATCTATCTAACCAGGCCCAGCATCCTCCCAAAACCATCTGCAGAGCAACCCTAAGGCTTCACATTAATGGCTGATGGGTACTGGTTGGTGAACTGAAATGTTGGGGTCCTTTAAGGTAATCCACAAGTTTAAATCAGCTGTAAATCGCATGAAGGCTGTTCCTGCATGTCATGGGAGGGCTGTCTAACTCTTTATTACTGTATGTGAGATGTAGAATGCCCTCTGACAGTCAGGTGTTAAAGCTCAAGAGTTCCAGTGGTGCTCAGGAAAAATGTGAGTGCTACATATATAAACAGTTACACAAATATATATAGTAAGAGATCATCATATTCCCAAGACAAGTAATTCCATTTTCAACTACATAAAGAATATTATAAAAGTAAATTAAGGTAATCACTGTATCCTCCATCCCATGAATATCAGTAGGGACATTCTAAACTTACAACATATCTATATAAATAGCTAAATACAAAAAAATAAATCATTGTCTTTTCTTTATACACAAAGGTTTACTACAATTTAATTCCCAAGTAAAAGATAAAAAAAAATAAGTCAAGGGATACACAGGACAACAAACAGTTTACAAATATCAAAGAAAAAAATTATACACAATATATTCTCATCAGAATATTTCCAAATCAAATAATCTCAATTGCAAGTATCTAAATAGTATTACATAGGCAAAGACTTGGAGATCTGTTTTGCTAAGAACTGCATTTCGCCCGAATTTGAGTCAACCAGGTGATCGTCTGAATTCCCGATTTCTTAATGCTCCTCTTCTTTTCATCTCTATTGGTTAATTTGTCTCACTTGATCTGTGAATCAAATGGCAGGAAGTTGCCTCATATCTATGCCAAGTCTAATAGGCATGGATTAAAGGACCACTCTAGGCACCCAGACCACTTCAGCTTAATGAAGTGGTCTGGGTGCCAGGTACAGCTAGGGTTAACCCATTTTTTTTATAAACATAGTTTCAGAGAAACTGCTATGTTTATAAATGGGTTAATCCAGCCCTCAAATCCTCTAGTGGCTGTCTCAATGACAGCCGCTAGAGGCGCTTGCGTGATTCTCACTGTGGAAATCACAGTGAGAACACGCAAGCGTCCATAGGAAAGCGCATTCAGCCGAAAGGGAGGAGAGGAGGAAGATCGGAGGCAGAGAGCTCCCCGCTCGGCGCTGGAGAAAGGTAAGTTTTAACCCCTTTCCTCTCCCCAGAGCCCGGCGGGTGGGGGCACCCTCAGGGCACTATAGTGCCAGGAAAACGAGTATCTTTTCCTGGCACTATAGTGGTCCTTTAATGGCTATCGCCATGTCATGAACTTAAAGAAGTTATAAAAACCAAGAGAATAAGAGAGCACTCACATGACGAATTTCAGGTGAATATAACTAGCTTTATTGAAGCAGATTCAGTATCATAGCAACACGTTTAACATTTCAGTCCTATAGTGGACTTGTATCCCTTTTATATATAACAACTCCCTATTAATTTAAGTTTTTTTTTAGATATTCTGGATTTAAACCACTCGATAGAAAATCATATAGATTTCCCTTCACCGGTGTTCATGGGATGGTGACATGTACAATAATCTTCTATTCTGCCATTGGTATACTATTTACATACTCATTTTGGAATTGTGGTGATGAGGATCTTATCTTGTATAAAAATGTATACAAAAATGATCTCTATAGATGATATAAATGTATAAACATTTGTATACCCAATACAGAATTTATATTATTTTGCAATAGTTATAAAAGGTGTTTAAATATAAATGTATACATAAATGTATCCACATTTCACACTATACAGGGTGTGAATAAGTAGGTAGATTGTTTCTATTCTATTTTCGTATAATGGTTTTTTTTTTCCATAAATTGTTAGGAGCATTGGCATTTACTTAGAACCCCACACAAATTAAAAAAATAAATCCCCAAGAAAATGTCATACCCCAATTGCATTTGGAGCATGAAAATTACTTTGTTTTCAACAAGATGGAGCCCCCTCCTCACTATTCTCTAGCAGTGTGTAATTTTCTTGATAAAAAAAAATGATTCAGTAGGTGGATAAGTAGATGAGTCCCGATTGAATGGCCACCGCGGTCACCAGACGTTACCCTTATGGACTTTTTCTTTTGGGGAGTTATCAAAGATAAGGTACATTCAAGAAAACTATGCACAGTTGAAAACATGATTCGACTCATAAAAGAAGCATTATACAAAGTAAAGTAGAAGAGGTAGAGCCACAGAATAAATGTCCACTAGGATACAGTAAAAAGCAACCTCAAATAGTAAAGATGGATATATACAAAAAATGTCCAAACGTTCAGAGGTCAAATAAGTCCAAAGGGCTTTATTATTTGGACATTTTATGTATATATATCTTTACTATTTAAAGTTGCTTTTTACTGTACTCTAGTGGACATTTATTCTGTGGCGCTACCCCTTCTATTGTTTTTACTTTGTATTCTGTTTCCATTAGTGAGGAAGAGTGATAACTACTTTTGGGGTTAGCTGCCTCCCAATATTATTATTGTTTTTTTAGTAAGTGATCTTACTGCTTTCTCTGTATCTCATAAAAGAAGCATGTCAAGAAATTAACCCCTTAAGGACGGAGCCAAATGTACACGTTGTGAACAAAACAAAATGTAAACAAAACCTGGCATTTGCGCTACATGTCTGTCCAACCGTAATTCACCTCTTTCATAGTAAATGCACCATTTAATATCAAATATTTAGCTATGAAACATAATTTAATATGAAAACAATGGGAGAAAATAAGATTTTTACAAATTATTTTAGTTCTACATAACATTTTAACTGTCAATGTCATAATACTGTTTGCTTTTACTGCAATAAAATACACATATTTGTATTCAGCAAAGTCTCACGTGTAAAACAGTACCCCCTATGTACAGGTTTTATGGCGTTTTGGGAAGTTACAGGGTCAAATATAGCATGTTACATTTGAAATTGAAATTTGCCAGATTGGTTACGTTGCCTTTGGGATTTTATAGTAGCCCAGGAATGAAATTTACACCCATAATGGCATACCATTTGCAATAGTAGACAACCCAAGGTATTGCAAATGGGGTATGTCCAGTCTTTTTTAGTAGCTATTTGGTCACAAACACTGGCCAAAGTTAGCGTTAGTATTTGTTTGTGTGTGAAAATGCAAAAAATGCCAATTTTGGCCAGTGTTTGTGACTAAGTGGCTACTAAAAAAGACTGGACATACCCTGTTTGCAATACCTTGGGTTGTCTACTATTGCAAATGGTATGCCAACATAGGGGTAATTTTCATTCTTGGGCTACCATAGGGTCTCAAAGGCAACGTAACCAATCTGGCGAATTTTAATGTGAAAAAAATGAAACACAAGCCTTATATTTGATGCTGTAACTTTTGAAAACATCATAAAACCTGTACATGAGGGGTACTGTTGTACTCGGGAGACTTCGCTGAACACAAATATTTGTGTTTGAAAACAGTAAAAAGTATCGCAGCAATAATATCGTCCGTGTAAGTGCTGTTTGTGCGTGAAAAATGCAAAAAAAAGTCACTTTTACTGGCGATATCATCGTTGTAATATATTTTACTTTTTTGAAATACTAATATTTGTGTTCAGCGAAGTCTCCTGAGTAGAAAGTGTATACCTACTTCTACACACCTCTATATGTGGACTGAATATACTTTACTTGCTTTTGCTCTCTATTTCACTGGTCATGTGATCCTGAGATAAAGTGTGCTCTTGTATGTGTCTGTAGACTTGTTTATCTGTTGGTGGGTATTTAAAATGTCCGAATTTGTCAATGGATGACATCACCCACGATCTCGTCCAAATAAAAGCTTCTTATAGAGAAGCACTGTGGATGAAACTGCATGTGTGGCAGGAAGACAGCCACTACAGGCTTTCTTAACCATGTAATGTAAACATTAATGTATCAAAACTACAAGAACACTGCACCCAGAACAGTTAATTGAGATAAAATGGTCTGGGTGACTTTAGTAGACCTCTATTAGAGGTTCGCCATAGGTGCCTATAGTCCTGAATTTGTCAAGAAAGTGTGGGTGAATAAAAATCGATGATTTTCTTTAATAAAACTTTTTTTAATATTTACATTTTTTTCTTTTAAATAAATTGCTTTTTCGAGGAATAATCTATCTAACCGCAAAAGCAACTTTAGATTAATGGAGTAGTTTTGTTGTATAGATCATGCTTCTCCAGTATAAATGCTGAATTTTCTTTTAAATAGATTTGTTTATGCAAATACATGTGACCTCCATAGCCTCCCTAAACATTTCCTGTAAAGAGAGATCACATGTTTAAACTTCCTTTATTGCAGAGTCTGGTTTATTCAGAACCATCCTGTATGTGATTAATGCTCAATTAACAGAGCAGGAGAGAAAAACGTCTAAAGTAAACATTCTGTGCTGTCACATCTGATTGAAAATAAAACCTTGTATTTTTCATGCAGGAGTTCCTTCCATGCTGCCAAAAAGCAAAGGAGCCTGGTCGTGCTGTTAAAGGGCCACAGCACGCAACTGGGCCCCTACTTACAAATGCCCACTGGGTGGTCCTTAGTGCATGGGCCACCCGCTGGACCTCCTTAGTGTGCGTCCCCAGGATGCACCTGGGAACCATTGGTGGGGGTGGAGAGAAAGTTGTTGAGGGCAGTGGGGCCCATGGGGCAGCTGCCTTGGGCCCCTTAGAAGTAAAAAGGCCCGGGACAGCTGCCCCTTTTGCCCCGTGTTAAAGATGGCCCTGCATGTGCCAACACAAAGTGACCCACTAAAAACAGCACAAAGGCAAAATATTGGATGCCAGTACAGTGGTAAAGATCAATTACTTGAGTTCTATTTAAAGTCGTACAATTTTATAGAAACATAGAATGTGACTGCAGATAAGAACCATTCGGCCCATCTAGTCTGCCCAATTTTCTAAATACTTTCATTAGTCCCTGGCCTTATCTTATAGTTAGGATAGCCTTATGCCTATCCCACGCATGCTTAAACTCCTTTACTGTGTTAACCTATTCCATGCATCTACTACCCTCTCAGTAAAGTAATACTTCCTGATATTATTTTTAAACCTTTGTCCCTCTACTTAAGACTATGTCCTCTTGTTGTGGTAGTTTTTCTTCTTTTAAATATAGTCTCCTCCTTTACTGTGTTGATTCCCTTTATGTATTTAAATGTTTCTATCATATCCCCCCTGTCTCGTCTTTCCTCCAAGCTATACATGTTAAGATCCTTTAACCTTTCCTGGTAAGTTTTATCCCGCAATCCATGAACCAGTTTAGTAGCCCTTCTCTGAACCCTCTCTAAGGTATCAATATCCTTCTGAAGATACGGTCTCCAGTACTGTGTACAATACTCCAAGTGAGGTCTCACCAGTGTTCTGTACAATGGCATGAGCACTTTCCTCTTTCTACTGCTAATACGTCTCCCTATACAACCAAGCTAGTATTTCCTGCTGCTCTATTACATTGTCTGCCTACCTTTAAGTCATCAGAAATAATCACCCCTAAATCCCTTTCCTCATATGTTGAGGTTAGGACTCTATCAAATATTCTGTTCTCTGCCCTTGGGTTTTTACGTCCAAGATGCATTATCTTGCATTTATCCACATTAAATGTCAGTTGCCACAACTCTGACCATTTTTCTAGTTTACTTAAATAATTTGCCATTTGGCTTATAACTCCTGGAACATCAACTCTGTTACATATCTTAGTATCATCAGCAAAAAGACATACCTTACCATCAAGACCTTCTGCAATATCACTAATAAAAATATTAAAGAGAATGGGTCCAAGTACAGATCCCTGAGGTACCCCACTGGTGACAAGTCCAAGCTTCGAATATATTCCATTAACTACAACCCTCTGTTGCCTGTCACTCAGCCACTGCCTTACCCATTCAACAATATTGGAATCCAAACTTAAAGATTGCAGTTTATTGATAAGCCTTCTATGTGCAACAGTGTCAAAAGCCTTACTGAAATCTAGGTAAGCAATGTCTACTGCACCACCCTGATCTATAATTTTAGTTACCCAATCAAAAAATCAATAAGATTAGTTTGGCATGATCTCCCTGAAGTAAACCCATGTTGTCTCTGATCTTGAAATCCATGTGTTTTTAGATGTTCATCAATCCTATCCTTTAACATGGTTTCCATCACTTTCTCCACTACTGAAGTAAGGCTTACTGGCCTATAGTTGCCCGACTCCTCCCTATTACCTTTCTTGTAAATGGGCACAACATTCGCTAACTTCCAATCTTCTGGGACTACTCCTGTTAACAATGATTGGTTAAATAAATCTGTTAGTGGTTTTGCTAGTACACCACTAAGCTCTTTTAATAGCTTTGGGTGTATTCCATCAGGTCCCATTGACTTATTTGTCTTTACTTTTGACAGTTGAAATAGAACCTCTTCCTCTGTAAACTCACGTGTAATAAATGACTCATTTATCCTTTTTCTCAACTGAGGTCCCTTTCCTTCATTTTCATCTGTAAATACAGAACAAAAATATTCATTGAGGCAGTCAGCTAGACCTTTATCCTCTTCTACATACCTTCCTTCTTTTGTTTTTAATCTAACTAATCCTTGTTTTACTTTTCTTTTCTCATTTATGTATCTAAAAAAGTTTTGTCCCCCTTTTTTACTGACTGTGCTATTTTCTCTTCTGTGTGTGATTTGGAAGCTCTTATAACTTGCTTAGCCTCTTTCTGCCTAATCTTATAGATCATTTTGGTTCCTCACTCTGAGTTTTTTTATAATTACTAAAGTCTAACTTTTAATTTTTAACTATTTTGGCCACATCTGCGGAGTACCACAGTGGTTTCTTGAATTTTGTGCTTTTACTGACAAGCCTAATGCAATTTTCTGTTGCCTTCAATAGTGCAACTTTTAAATAATCCCATTTCTCTTGGACTCCATTTAAATTGCTCCAGTCTGATAATGACTCCTCTACCCATATTCTAATTTTAGAAAAGTCTGTTTTTCTAAAGTCTAAAACTTTTGTTTTTGTGTGGTGTGACTCAGTCACTGTTCTTATATTAAACCACACTGACTGATGATCACTGGATCCTAAACTTTCACCTACAGTAATATCTGATACCAAATCTCCATTTGTTAACACTAAATCTAGTATGGCCTCTTTACGAGTTGGCTCCTCAACAACCTGTTTTAGAGACAATCCCAGTAGGGAGTTTAGAATATGTGTGCTCCTGGCACAAGTAGCTAATTTTGTTTTCCAATTTACATCAGGAAGATTAAAGTCACCCATGATGATAACTTCCCCCTTCATTGTCATTTTAGCTATTTCCTCAACTAGTAGATTATCTAACTCTTCAATTTGTCCTGGGGGCCTATAAATCACACCTACACAAGTTACTGTGTGATTACCAAATTCTAACGTAACCCAAACGGACTCTATGTTTGCCTCACTAACTTTTATTAGGCTAGATTTTATGCTATCCTTCACATACAGGGCCACCCCTCCCCCTTTCTTGCCTTCCCTATCTTTTCTATATAAAGAGTACCCTGGTATTGCTATGTCCCAGTCATTTTTCTCATTATACCATGTCTCAGTAACAGCGACTAAATCTACACTATCAGTTGCCATTATTGCCACAAGTTCATGGATCTTATTCCCTAAACTGCGAGCATTTGTAGACATGACTCTAAGCTTATCATTTTTTAACACACTTGCTACAGGCAACTTCTGTCCTTGTTTTGGGGGACAATTGGATTGATGTTTTATCACCCTTTTGCTCCCCCCCTCCTAGTTTAAATACATCCTAGCAAAACCTCTGAACTGCACACTGAGAACATTTGTTCCCTTTTGAGAAAGATGCAAACCATCTTTTTTGTACAGGTTATTTCCATTCCAAACACAGCTACCATGAGAAATAAAGCCAAATCCTTGCTCCCGACACCATTCACCAAGCCACAAATTAAAGTCCCTAATATGCATCCGCCTGTCTTTCTGAGTGTTATGCACCGGCAGAACTTCAGAGAATGACAGTGTGGAAGCAACCTGCCGTATATCATTGGCAAAAACACAAAAAACTTCCTTAACCTCTGAAACCTCATTATCTTGGAAAAGGATATCAAATTCTATTTTAACATGAAATAAAATTATCCATTGTATTCTGGAAGAGTAAGACAACTTCAGTTTTGCTGATTAAAGGGTTACTCCAATCTTTATGAACACTTCTGCTTTTAGAATAGGATGTAGAATAGGACTAGGATAACGCACCGTGAAGATAAAGAATGAGTGAAAATCATCGAGGGGAACTTGACTCGGCACTGGATTCCAGGTAACTATTAAGCTATTTTCCAACAATATGTGTAATGAAAAAAAAAAAAACAGTAAGGGGGGACCTAGATAGATATGCATAGGAAAACAAATTAAGTATTAATAGTGCAAGTATAAAAAAAATCAATTGATAAAGGATGGAGAAGAAGCCACTTGCTGGTACTCAACCCAGTACATTGAAGTCCAGGGAACCTCATGCTTTTAATATATATATATGTGCCTTACAGTGTAGCAGTGAAGGGCAGCTTACTGTGCTGTTTTATGTTGAAGCATTGAAAGTATTAACGTTATCCAGGTTGTAGTTACTATGGTAACTTATTGTTCCATGCACACTTGTTTTTCCAATTTTGACAGTGGTATATTTTCCACATGTTGATTGATATCAGTAAACATTTCAAGCATTAGGCCATTAAAAAGATCTAGAGATGAGAAAATTGTTGGTAACTTGTGGTTGCTAATATCTACAGTACATACTTCGCAAAGTAACAACTTTTTACGGCAAATTATTACTAACGTTGGAAATAACTCAAGTTAGAAATGCATCCACTGAGTCTGTCCTAAGATGCCTTCTTTTAAATTAAATTGTGCTTATGCTTAATTAAGTCCGCACAGATGTGGCACAGACTTTACATGTGATGTATAATTGTTAGTAAAGTCCTCACAGGTTTTGCAGACATTTCCATGTCATATCTGTGGGTATGACTGTCCGTGATTTGCCTCAAAACTGTCTCAATTTTACTCACCATTACAATGTAGCACTGTTGCTATGCATTGTGAACCATGGTTGCTATAGTACAGGTGATGGGTACAGTGAAGATAAAGGCTGCATAGTGTACAGCTTTAATGTTAAGTTTTTTTTTAATCACAGAAAAGGTGAATGACTCTAACTACCACGGATCATGCAAAAATGTTACAAGTAACATCATTTCATTTCCTGTCAAAAAGCACCAAACAATTCTGCATACAAATATCTGTCATAAAAAAATAATTAAAAAAAAGATGTATACTATAGGATGTGAACTTTGGCACAGTCACAATCAACACTTCATTTCAGTAATTTGTATAGTTAAAAAAAGGATTGCAAAAACTTTCTTTATATCTAAATCTGTAATAAATTTTTTAAAAAGGCAAAATAATTGCCAATACCTTATGTGAAATTGGAGAACCTTTACAATTCGCTTATTTTAACCAAAAAGTTTAAATTGATTTATCAGTTCTTCCCAAACTCCCATTTTTGTTATTAAAGGACCACTATAGGCACCCAGACCACTTCAGCTTAATGAAGTGGTCTGGGTGCCTGGTCCAGCTAGGGTTAACCCTTTTTTTATAAACATAGCAGTTTCAGAGAAACTGCTATATTTGTATTAGGGTTAATCCAGCCTCCAATGGCTGTCTCTTGACAGCCGCTAGCGTGCTTCTCACTGTGAAAATCACAATGAGAAGACGCCAGCATCCATAGGAAAGCATTGTGAATGCTTTCCTATGGACCGGCTGAATGCGTGCGCAGCTCCTGCCGCGCATGCACATTCAGCCGAAGAGGAGGAGAAGAGCTCCCGCCCGGCGCTGGAAAAAGAGGTAAGTTTAACCCCTTCCTCTCCATCCAGCCCGGCGGAGGGGGACCCTGAGGGTGGGGGCACCCTCAGGGCACTCTAGTGCCAGGAAAACGAATATGTTTTCCTGGCACTATAGTGGTCCTTTAAACCGGGCTACCCTACCTTTCTCAATTATTAGACGTTTTATTAATATAAAATGTTATTCTAAATATATAATTTTAATGTAGTATCCTAACTATATTATTTTAATGTGGTATCCTAAATTATGTAGTATCCTATTTTTTTTTTATTTTTTATTATTATTATTTATTATTTAGATTACAATGAGCCTGAGGGAAGGAAATATTTTAAAACAAAAAAAAAAATATATAATTATAATAATAATTAAAAAAAAAAATATATATATATATATATCTGATTAATAAAACAAAGCATGTAACAGCATATTCTGCAACACAATGCACATGGAATGACCTGCCATCAGTTCAAGGTCAATCACGTGATTCATTGTTTCCCTCTGCACACCGAGCTTAGAGCCCTAAACACCTAGTAGACATAAATAACAGGTAACATTTCACACTTGTCTCCGGCGCTAACCGCAGTGATTTCTACCGTAAAGGCCAATAAAGGCATCATTTCTATGAAGGCGGTTTGTGTCTCTCGCGTTTAGAACTCTCTCAAAGCGTGCACCTGACTGGGGTGACGACCTGGACTAAACCACTGAGACGAACTTCGCTTTCACGTTCCTGACTGCCCTTGCAGCGTGCTGGCTCGAGTCGGACACTGCGCATGCGCACGCAGTAGGCCCCCCACGCAGTCTGGCTTCTAGCTGCCCTCACATTTGCCTGTTTCGAATTTAGACGCAAACAGACCCGAAGCCAGCATTTATATTCGCAGAGACGTGCCATTGAGCCTAGCAGGCTGCTGGACATCAGCATGCGATATCTAAGATCGCGGCGCTGGCAGTGTGAGGCGGATAACTCTGGAGTGGGCGAGCGCAGGCATCGCTGGGGCAGCCGTCGTGGTGTTGAATGACTGGGGTCCTGGCGTGACCTCTAGCACAGGCAGTGTTGTGGTTGCCGGTGTGGGCAGATCTGATTGACAGATGTGAGCGTTCCAGGGGTCAGCACACCGGCACCTTCCCATGTAAGAACCGGATACACCGTGTACTAATATTACTATATCATTATATCCTATATACTGAGTGTATTACTATATCATTATATCCTATATACTGAGTGTATTAATATATCATTATATCCTATATACTGAGTGTATTACTATATCATTATATCCTATATACTGAGTGTATTACTATATCATTATATCCTATATACTGAGTGTATTACTATATCATTATATCCTATATACTGAGTGTATTACTGTATCATTATATCCTATATACTGAGTGTATTACTGTATCATTATATCCTATATACTGAGTGTATTAATATATCATTATATCCTATATACTGAGTGTATTAATATATCATTATATCCTATATACTGAGTGTATTACTATATCATTATATCCTATATACTGAGTGTATTACTATATCATTATATCCTATATACTGAGTGTATTAATATATCATTATATCCTATATACTGACTGTATTAATATATCATTATATCCTATATACTGAGTGTATTAATATATCATTATATCCTATATACTGAGTGTATTACTATATCATTATATCCTATATACTGAGTGTATTAATATATCATTATATCCTATATACTGAGTGTATTAATATATCATTATATCCTATATACTGAGTGTATTACTATATCATTATATCCTATATACTGAGTGTATTAATATATCATTATATCCTATATACTGAGTGTATTACTATATCATTATATCCTATATACTGAGTGTATTACTATATCATTATATCCTATATACTGAGTGTATTACTATATCATTATATCCTATATACTGAGTGTATTAATATATCATTATATCCTATATACTGAGTGTATTAATATATCATTATATCCTATATACTGACTGTATTACTATATCATTATATCCTATATACTGAGTGTATTAATATATCATTATATCCTATATACTGACTGTATTAATATATCATTATATCCTATATACTGAGTGTATTACTATATCATTATATCCTATATACTGAGTGTATTAATATATCATTATATCCTATATACTGAGTGTATTACTATATCATTATATCCTATATACTGAGTGTATTAATATATCATTATATCCTATATACTGAGTGTATTAATATATCATTATATCCTATATACTGAGTGTATTAATATATCATTATATCCTATATACTGAGTGTATTACTATATCATTATATCCTATATACTGAGTGTATTACTGTATCATTATATCCTATATACTGAGTGTATTACTATATCATTATATCCTATATACTGACTGTATTAATATATCATTATATCCTATATACTGAGTGTATTAATATATCATTATATCCTATATACTGAGTGTATTACTATATCATTATATCCTATATACTGAGTGTATTAATATATCATTATATCCTATATACTGAGTGTATTACTATATCATTATATCCTATATACTGAGTGTATTAATATATCATTATATCCTATATACTGAGTGTATTACTATATCATTATATCCTATATACTGAGTGTATTACTATATCATTATATCCTATATACTGAGTGTATTAATATATCATTATATCCTATATACTGAGTGTATTACTATATCATTATATCCTATATACTGAGTGTAATAATATATCATTATATCCTATATACTGAGTGTATTACTATATCATTATATCCTATATACTGAGTGTATTACTGTATCATTATATCCTATATACTGAGTGTATTAATATATCATTATATCCTATATACTGAGTGTATTAATATATCATTATATCCTATATACTGAGTGTATTAATATATCATTATATCCTATATACTGAGTGTATTAATATATCATTATATCCTATACACTGAGTGTATTAATATATCATTATATCCTATATACTGACTGTATTAATATATCATTATATCCTATATACTGAGTGTATTACTATATCATTATATCCTATATACTGAGTGTATTACTATATCATTATATCCTATATACTGAGTGTATTACTATATCATTATATACTATATACTGAGTGTATTACTATATCATTATATCCTATATACTGAGTGTATTAATATATCATTATATCCTATATACTGAGTGTATTACTATATCATTATATCCTATACACTGAGTGTATTACTATATCATTATATCCTATATACTGAGTGTATTAATATATCATTATATCCTATACACTGAGTGTATTACTATATCATTATATCCTATATACTGAGTGTATTAATATATCATTATATCCTATATACTGAGTGTATTAATATATCATTATATCCTATATACTGAGTGTATTACTATATCATTATATCCTATACACTGAGTGTATTACTATATCATTATATCCTATATACTGAGTGTATTACTATATCATTATATCTATATACTAGTGTATTACTATAATTATATCTATATACTGAGTGTATTACTATATCATTATATACTATATACTGAGTGTATTACTATATCATTATATCCTATATACTGAGTGTATTAATATATCATTATATCCTATATACTGAGTGTATTAATATATCATTATATCCTATATACTGAGTGTATTAATATATCATTATATCCTATATACTGAGTGTATTACTATATCATTATATCCTATACACTGAGTGTATTACTATATCATTATATCCTATATACTGAGTGTATTACTATATCATTATATCCTATATACTGAGTGTATTACTATATCATTATATCCTATACACTGAGTGTATTACTATATCATTATATCCTATATACTGAGTGTATTACTATATCATTATATCCTATATACTGAGTGTATTACTATATCATTATATCCTATATACTGAGTGTATTAATATATCATTATATCCTATATACTGAGTGTATTAATATATCATTATATCCTATATACTGAGTGTATTACTATATCATTATATCCTATATACTGAGTGTATTACTATATCATTATATCCTATATACTGACTGTATTAATATATCATTATATCCTATATACTGAGTGTATTACTATATCATTATATCCTATACACTGAGTGTATTAATATATCATTATATCCTATATACTGAGTGTATTAATATATCATTATATCCTATATACAGCATCACTGACACTCAGTGTATTAATATATCATTATATCCTATATACAGCATCACTGGCACTCAGTGTATTAATATATCATTATATCCTACATACAGCATCCCTGGCACTCAGTATATCGATATTTATTTTTATATATATTTATATAAATAATCTCCTCCCCTATAATACATAAGTATGTATGTATGTATGTATATGTGTGTATACATACATACAGACAGGTCCATAAATATTGGGACATAGACACAATTCTAATCTTTTTTGCCCTATACACCAACACAATGGGTTTGAAATGAAATAAACAAGATGTGCTTTAATTTGAGGGAATTTACATCCAAACCAGGTGAACGGTGTAGGAATTACAAGTTTGTATATGTGCATCACACTTTTTAAGGGACCAAAAGTAATGGGACAGAATAACAGTCATAAATCAAACTTTCACTTTTTAATACATGGTTGCAAATCCTTTGCAGTCAATTACAGCCCGAAGTCTGGAATGCATAGACTTCACCAGAGACTGGGTTTCATCCCTGGTGATGCTCTGCCAGGCCTCTACTGCAACTGTCTTCAGTTCCTGCTTGTTCTTGTGGCATTTTCCCTTCAGTTTTGTCTTCATCAAGTGAAATGCTTGATCAATCGGATTCAGGTCAGGTGATTGACTTGGCCATTGCATAACATTCCACTTCTTTCCCTTAAAAAAACTCTTTGGTTGCTTTTGCAGTATGCTTCCGGTCATTGTCCATCTGCACTGTGAAGCGCTGTCCAATGAGTTCTGAAGCATTTGGCTGAATATGAGCAGATAATATTGCCTGAAACACTTCAGAATTAATCCTGCTGCTTTTGTCAGCAGTCACATCATCAATAAATACAAGAGAACCAGTTCCATTGGCAGCCATACATGCCCATGCCATGACACTACCACCACCATGCTTCACTGATGAGGTGGTATGCTATGGATCCATACTCTTCTCTTCCCATCACTCTGGTACAAGTTGATCTTGGTCTCAACTGTCCATAGGATGTTGTTCCAGAACTGTGAAGGCTTTTTTAGATGTTGTTTGGCAAACTCTAATCTGGCCTTCCTGTTTTTGAGGCTCACCAATGGTTTACATCTTGTGGTGAACCCTCTGTATTCACTCTGGTGAAGTCTTCTCTTGATTGTTGACTTTGACACACATACACCTACTTCTTGGAAAGTGTTCTTGATCTGGCCAACTGTTGTGAAGGGTGTTTTCTTCACCAGGCAAAGAATTCTTCCGTCATCCACCACGGTTGTTTTCCGTGGTCTTCCGGGTCTTTTGGTGTTGCTGAGCTCACCGATGCGTTCTTTCTTTTTAAGGATGTTCCAAACAGTTGATTTGGCCACACCTAATATTTTTGCTCTCTCTCTGATGGGTTTGTTTTGTTTTTTCAGCCTAATGATGGCTTGCTTCACTGATAGTGACAGCTCTTTGGATCTCATATTGAGAGTTGACAGCAACAGATTCCAAATGCAAATAGCACACTTGAAATGAACTCTGGACTTTTTATCTGCTCCTTGTAAATTGGATAATGAGGGAATAACACACACCTGGCCATGGAACAGCTAAGCAGCCAATTGTCCCATTACTTTTGGTCCCTTGAAAAGTGGGAGGCACATATACAAACTGTTGTAATTCCTACACTGTTCACCTGATTTGGATGTAAATACCCTCAAATTAAGGCTGAAAGTCTGCAGTTAAAGCACATATTGTTCATTTAATTTCAAATCCATTGTGGTGCTGTATAGAGCCAAAAAGATTAGAATTGTGTCGATGTCCCAATATTTATGGACCTGACTATATATACCCCCCTACATACAGCATTACTGGTACCCAGTGTATATATAGCTTCCTACACACAGCTATTCAATGAATACTGATAGACAGTGTGACACTGAGCATTACTTGTACTCAGTATATATAGCTTTCTACACACAGCCATTCAGTGAGTGTTCATACACAGTGTGACACTGAGCATTACTGGCACTCCGTGTATATATAGCATCCTACACACAGCCATTCAATGAGTACTGATAGACAGTGTGACACTGAGCATTACTGGTACCCAGTATATGTAGCTTTCTACACATCCATTGCATGAGTACTTGATGTAAACTGTCACAACATGGGATACTGCACAGAGTATTCTGTACATACCATAAACTGATTTATTATTTAATCTGTACACCCTGAATTATGTTCCTCAAAGTGTACTCCGCACACGTAAATTGATTTGCTACACTTTATAAACTACATAATCTGTTTCACTATGTAATCTGTACGCTTAATGTTAATTCACTCACTGTATAATCTGTACACACGCCATAATCTGGTTCCTGGTGTAATGTGCACACACTGCATGCTCTGCTTCCTGATGTAATCTGCACATATGCCGTGTAGCGGATGGCCATGAGCTGCCCTGAGACTTGTATTATGTGTAACCTGTATTCGTCTAATTGCTAAATGTCTATGCAGTAAGGGAATGTATTTGTGTAAAATAGCTAAATTCTATGTGTAAAATGTATTGGATTCGTCTGAATGTTGGGTAGTTTCATTCCCTTAGTTTGTTCGAATGAAACTACCGAACAGTCAGACCTCCCCTGTGTGAAGTGTGCCTTCAATTACCCGTTGCAACATTGTTGCGAACGGGTAATTGACAAGCTGTGTAGCAATCCTTTGTTCTCAGGGGTGGCCGCCATTCGAGAAACGAACACGTGGCGGCGGCCATCTTAACCTCCCGAACAGCGGTGTTTTGCCGTCGAGTGTCTGGAACTAAAATCGGACACTCGAGTAGGCGAACACCGCTGAGACCTCCATCAGCCCGGTCCGTTCGGTTCCAAACTACCGAACGGCCCCTCGTTCGGTAGGCATAATCAACCGAACGAGGGGATTCAGGCGAACCCTCCCAAGCCTCTATAGCTGGAGGCTTTCAGGTACTTCATTCGCCTTTTCCAGGACCGACTGCAGGGCCCAATCGCATGGAGCCCAATTCGGCTAGTTCATCTAGCACGGTTGGTCATTTTATTCCCTCCAGGAAATTCCCGAACCCCTGGTCCAATCTGAGTGATTTTTGGATATGTTCACCCAGATCAGGGCTACCAGGGGATGTATAATTTAAAGGGGTACCCCTAGGTTTAGGGGTACATCCAGAAACGGGGGGAATTGCTGTACTGGATAAGGGGATTATGATGCCGGCTGAGGGGAGGAGATGTGTGGGAGGTTACCGGGACAGGATTGGCTACTGTATTAATGAATGGAAATCCCTCCCTTGCATGGGAGCATGCTATATAAGGCACTGTGGAATAAAGGTTGTCAGTTCTGCTCCTGATGCTGTGTGTCGTCCAGTCATTGGGATTGCTGTGGGGATACTATTGGATTATTTTGCCTGCTGGAAACTTTGCCTGTGGATTTATAATTTACTTGTTCCTGAGCCTCACTGGGATCTTAAGCGGAGATAACCTGGGGAATATTGTATCTCCGCTACATGCTGTAATCTGCTTCTTGTGTAAACTGTGTACACGCTTTAATCTCCAAACACTGCATGACCTGTTTCCTGATGTAACCTGCACACACGCTGTACTCTGCTTCAAGGTGTAATCTGCGTACATGCCGTAATTTGCTTTATGGTGTAATCTGCCTACACGCCGTAATCTGCTTCATTGTATTATCTGTACACACTCCATAATTGGCTTCTCTATATAATATGTACTCACTGTATAATCTTATTATATAGAATTTTTACATTGTAATCTGTGCACACTGAATAATCTGTTCAGCACCCTAATCTATACAAATGGCATGATCTACTTCACAGGGTAATCTCTGTTTATGGCATCTGTACTCACAGTATGGCCTACTTCACAGTATAATCTGTACACACAGTATGGCCTACTTCACAGTGTAATCTGTACACACAGTGTGACCTACTTCACAGTGTAATCTGTACACACAGTGTGACCTACTTCACAGTGTAATATGTACACACAGTGTGACCTACTTCACAGTGTGATCATTGAACGTAACATGGTCTTCTTCACAGTGTACTACAAGGCACTAATTCAGCGTTTATTTGTTGCACATGAAGCAGATTAGTATTGTTATTGCATAAACTGCAAGTCTAAATGTATGTAGATATTTATTCCTGTATGCATGTTTGTACAGATGTGTCTACTTTTTAAAGCTGTCACCAAATTCACCAGTGCTTCTCCCAAGTTTTGGGCTCTGGATTAGCCCCTGGTACCCTTTAAAGTACCCTCCATACAGGCTTTTAAATGCATTTGATAGGTTTTGGCTTCAGATTAATGCTAGTTTTCTCCATGTTAAAATGTCTTTAGTTTTGCTATTTAAAAAAAAAAAAAAAAAAATTTCCACAGAGTAACCCTGCTCCCTTTTACAATAACCGTGTCTGCAACACCTTTTATTTATTTTTTTAATAAAGAAGGATGGCCTTAGCTGTTTTCAGGCACTTTAGACTGGTGGTGGGTATGATGCATGCTACCTGTCTTACACTTTAACCCCTTAAGGACACATGACATGTGTGACATATCATGATTCCCTTTAACCCCTTAAGGACCAAACTTCTGGAATAAAAGACCAAATGCTATACTATGTTGTCATCACTATCATGTCCCTGTCTACCATGCCAAAATGGAAGCCACTTAGTACGCATTCTCTACTCTATACAGCTCTATAGTTAGTCTGCGGCTCATTCCATTTTGGAATGTAAACCTTAGAGAATAAATTGTTCTAATATCATAGACTGTCAGTGGTCCATAAGGGAGTAATCACACATTGGATACTTAATACTGTAATCTTTATCCACAACTGTTTTCAGACTGCACTGTGTGTAACATAAGCGTTTTAAATGATTCTACTACATAATCTGATCTACTTCACAGGAAGCAATTGCAAACAACCCGGTCTACCACACATACACACACAACTTCAAATGAAACTTCACTTGTAGGTGGAGCAATATCCCTTGTTCTAATGTGTAACTCCTTTAGATAAAATTCTTATTGTTCCAAGATTAATGGATAACCACAAACGTACCCAATTCATTTCTTGGAAAATAAAGGTATTCGCTGCCTTAAAGGGTAAGGCAGTCCGCAAGAAGGAGGGATCTGGGTTTGTGTGTGCTCCATCCAATGTGAGTAGAATTTCCATTAGCAGATATATTTCTGTGATCTATTTTTTTTTCTCTACAAAAACTAAGGGATCTCTTGACCATGAACTGAATCTCACTTTGCAAAATATAGACAAAAATAGCTGAATACAGAAATTGTTCTTCTTGGTTACAGCTTTATTTTAGGCTAAAAATATGGTTTTCCGTTTGCCGTGAATAAACTTGTACTTTGATTCCTGTGTATTGGCTTTTAGCACATTGACTGAGTAACTTACTATTGTCCCTTAAGTGTGTGTACACCTCTCTTTCGAAACATTTTATTCGCACAATTAAATGTATTTTTTGTTTTGGCGACTCATGTTCCAAGTTTGCAGGTAGTGCTTCGAATACCTTATGGCAGATGTTGTTCTTAACATTGTACCATTACACCCAGCATGGTTCTTGTTCAAACTATGCTGCTTTTTTTTTTTTTTGTCCAAAACATGTATGTGGTTCGTGTCGCTCCCCTCAACACTAGGCTACCACCAGTTCGTGGATTCACACTGTCTTAATGCGCACCTTTTTTTTTTTTTTTGCCTCTCAGGTTTTTTTTCTCTTCTTTTATTTATCTTGATATTGCTCGTTTTTGTCTGTTGATATTGTCACGGAACAAAAAAATTCCCAGTGATCACTTGTTTCATGGGGTATTATTTGCAGAGTGAGCATTTCACTTGTATTTGATTTTCTTACGATGTTTTGTGAGACAGACTGGCATTTTAGACCAGTTATGATCAGTATCCTAATACACCACTCCTGTCTGTCTCATGCTGAATCCCATCAAGTTTAGTGTGATTCCCTCTACCCCAGTACACATTTTACCAGGATTGTCCACTAGAATGTGAATTGCAGGGAATTCAAAGTGAATTTCACATTTTAGGACAAAATGACTTTAATTGGAATAAGTTGACAATATTTTTGGTAGAGAAGTTTTGGACAAGAATTTTTAATTTTTAATTCCCACTATATTGAATACCTTTGCTTGACTCTGTTTTTGTGTGTGATTTATTTTTTTTAATTTTTTTTTCCTCATTCGATTGGTATGATATCAAGCACACGTTCAGTTTTGTTTGTTAGGCTCACTTACTCTTTATATATTTTTCTTAGGGCACATTTATGATATTGGTGAAGGCAAAACCGCAATTCTTGAGGTGACGAAAAACCATTGTGCAGCAGGAAAATGGTGAGTGTAAGCCTACATATAGCAGTATTAAAGTAATATACCCTTATTATAATACAGAAATACAAAATATTGTGAGACACGTTGTTTTCTCGTTTGAAATATCAGTGAAGAAAATGTTTTGTATATGTCCTAATGTCCGTATGTTTTATTTCAGTGACTGCTCAATCACATATAGTTTGATTTTATATTATGTTGATACAAATAGTAATCTAGAGAACAGTAAACGTAGACTAGTCACTAATTAAAGCAAGATGCTCTAGGCTAGTAAATAAAGCATACACCTGTCTGCATTTAATGCGCTATAACTGCTTGAAAGGACTGTGCCCCTTGCTCTTTAAACTATAGTGGATATCCCTTTAAACCTAGAAATCGGCATACTGACATTCAAAACCTTTTGTCTTTGAAAGAATAATGTGCCTTCTAAAAACTGTTACTTGCAAATACAAACAAAAACTGGTAGCAATGTTCATCAAACAGTTAACTGATCAGATAATTTCCAATTGTCGGTATAGATCGCCAAACTGGAAAAATTACCCATCGCAGATTTTTCTAGCATGACAATTTTGACGTTAAATGTTCTGTTCAGTTCACTGTTGTATGAATAGCCTCTGTAGAAATATGAGGTTCTAGGTATTCCAAAAACCAATGCTGAATCTGATGCATATTTTCTTTACCTGCGCTTGTGTTGTGTGCGTTACAATGAAAATGTACTGACATCATTTTATGCAGTTTCACAGTAAATATTTTTTTCAATAACTATAAATAGACTAATGCATGTATTAAATAATAGGAATAATGATCAGACATGGAAGAGGAGGCAGAATTGCTCTGGTCCGGTTTTGAAAGCTAGCCTTACGTTATGTATAGGGTTGTATAGAAATGTTGGTAATAAAATATTACTGGAACGAAGTCGGGGTAACTGTTATTAAGCATTTTATCAATAATAGGGATCGGCTTTGTAATTTAACGATATTACCAATAACTTACTCACCTCTCCCAGTCGCCACACGCTGTCTTCTGCATCTGGAAGCTCTGGCTGCCAACCAATAAGGACCGATGCTGTGACCTCACATCACCCCTTTCTGTGAGTCACTGCATGCGGAGCTCACCTGAAGGCAGGGAGGTGACAGCGAATAATCTACTGTAATGTACTGGGCTGGCTGATCGTGATAGGAGTGTGATTGCTCTCAGCAAGTTAAGTTAATACCAGATTTGTATAGAAATTATGTTACTTTTTCAAAACTTTAGATGTACAGAATATCAGCACCAGCCAGTTACCAGCGATCGGCCACTCTGGAAAAATAAGTCAATCCCTAGAAAAAAAAACTCATAATATTTTAAATTTTGTTGTTAAAGGGTTATGCCTAAATTATTTTTGGCCCACTCTGCTGCTAAGCTGTAGAGCTGGAAAGTGGGTATACAACCAGGAGAATTATCCTATTGATAACTGCAGTTGAAAGTGTTTTGGGAATTTTCTTCTATTTTGCTGTAAGATGGCATGTCTTTGTGGTTTTTATGGTAACCAGTAAATTGATAAAGCAGATCCGTATCAGGGGAGAATTGAGTGAGATAGAAAGGTTTGACATCGGCATTAATAATTAATGGAGATAGAGGCTGTTAAAAGGGATTACGGACTCCTTATTAATAACATGCTGTCATTTTAAATAGACTGAAACTTTGGATTTGTCAGCCACAGAAGTTTATTTGAAAAAGGATTTTAATAACTAGATCAGATTTTACACTGAGCTTTGAACCAAATAAACTGAACTTTAAATCGGTTTCAAATGTCTTCACGAGGTTTAATCTTGAATGTAAACTTCTGAATAGTTGATTTTGCCATAAAAGGAAAAGTGTAACCTTGTAAAAGTCAAACGATTAACCTGAACAATTGTATCTAAATGTTGACCTGGTTTATTGACTTTAACTTTGTAGATAAACTATTTCTAAGTGCTTTGTGATATTTGTTTGTCCTTGTGTGTTATTCTGGTTCGAAGACCGACCTTGATCTTCACTTTATTCCAAGTAGATACATGTATTTTTTTCATATTCTCCAGTGAATATGTAGATTACACATTCAACTTGCCTGAAGAGTCTTTAAAGGTTTAGAGTGGGACATTTATATAGAGTTATCAAACAGTGTGTGCGTTACTGAACTAATTGCAAATATTGCAGGACCGTAAGTCATATGATGCTAGTCCATCCATATATGTGCTCATTTTCTTTTATTATGACTAGTGAGTCTTACCCAAGACCTACAGGTTATTCACTTAAAGGGGCACTTTACACACCAGTACACTGCGGCACTCTGTTATGATTATGACACTGTGTCAGGCTAAGCTGTCAAACTATGTAAGAATGGTTTAATACTTACCTGGCTCTTTTGGGAACCCGCAGTTATACCAGCCTGTACAGCTTTACTAAAGAAGAACTTCTTTGGGTCATTACACATGTAATTATCCTGGCAACATGTCTTCGATTGGAAAACTAGTGGGCCATCCATAGTTTGTAATCTACCATGTAATAAAATATTATAATTCATTACACTGTTAAGGTAGGATTGACATTTTTGCTAAGGCTCTCCTAAATTCTCCAATCTGCTTGTAGTGTAATGGCAGTGAATAGGCTGGGAGATGCACTTCGAGCTTCAAGTTTACCTTCCTTGGCACAATCAGCATCCTTACACACGCTTCTTTATGCTTCCTTTTTTATTTTTTTATTTTATTTTTTTTGGACCTTTTAAATACATTACAACAGAGTCAAAGCTTTAACATGACAGAACCACTTTAAATGGTTCTTCATTGTACTTAGGAACCCAGTGTTGATACAGTAAACCATTTTATTAGTCAGTGTCCTGATGAATGTGATGAGCCTATGGCAACTAATTTGGACCCAGAATAATAGAATGGGGCTCAATTATGGGGTTAAAGCAGATCTGTCCCATATCAATATTTCATAAAGATATATTCTTTATGAAATACTGATAAGATTTCATAATACCAAATAGGAACTACTTTGTATGATGGTAAAGCCTGAGGTTGACTATAGGCCCAGCTCTGCCGGCAACTTTAGTCCAATAGGGGCCAAGTCACCTAAATGGTGGTTTTAACGCTATTGGGTCAGGAATAAATGTTTGTGTTCCTGACCCTATAATGTTCCTTTAAGCTTCTTTCTTTCTTTTGGTAAGGATATTATGTGCATAATACTGACAACTAATAAGTAAGTGTATATACTATGTGATGTAATGTGATTTAACTATAAATGAAGTGTTATTTCTTTTTTGAATGCTTTAATGCTGATTTTCTATGTTCTTCACTGACTAGGACACGAGCCCTGGCAAATTGCTGTCCCTTATTCATGCTTTTGATAACACTGTGCATGTAGTATTGTGTATGGAATTACAACCTCATGTCACCGAACCCAAAAAAAATCAAAATTTAGTGGAAACCATTTATTTCAAGGATTGCATCCTAAATAAATGTTTTTATAATCAGACGTCTATTAAATTTTATTTTCTACACCTGCAACATTTATTTGATCTCTTAATTTATTTCCTTTTTGACAATGTTGAGAACGTTCTCATCCTAAATTAATGTTACCATACCTATGTTCTCCTTCAGGGTGTGATAGGCGTGCAGCTGGTTGTTACCATGGTGATGGCCAGTGTCCTTCAAAAGGTCATACCTCACTATTCTCTTGCCCGCTGGCTCCTCTGCAATGGCAGGTAGTGTACAAACACTGTGTTCAGATATTTCTTATTATTCAGAATCGTTTTCAAAATGTCCAAAAATATATTTTCTGACCATATGCTTATGATTTCAGATGCCAGCAGGAATTTCTCCATTTTTTTTTTTTTTTGTTCAGTGCATTTTAAAGGGACTTGTGGGTACAGCGCCCATGGTTTGTGTGCAAAACCATTTTCAGGCTGAGGCTGTCTCAGAACATACATCTGTAGCCAACCTTTCTCTCCTGAATTGCAGGCAAACTAGCGGTTGTCTGCAAAAAAGGAACAGCCAATCAGGAGAGACTTTTTAATTATGGGACATTCCTTAATGAGCAATAGTGATATATTGGCTGTGGTGCTAAGATTCCACATTTAATTCAAATTTGCCTTTACAACATACAAACTACTGTAATTCTATTTTTCTTCTGTAAATTCACTCCATTATTTGCCCATTAATTTAGCCATGCACAGTTAATCTTATAGCTCTAAAGGTATGATTCCCTGTAGTGTAATACATTTGCAGATTGCACAAGACATTTTGAAAACAAAGTAAGAAATTTATACAGCAATTGATTGTTTCATTCACTTCATAAAATTATGGAATATTGCTCTACATTTGTATTGTGGAATAAAATTTTCACCAGCCCTCTTTCTAAAATTATGTTGCTAAGTGCCTTTAAAACTCCTCTGCTCAGCTCAAGGCTATACATTTGTGCTAATAAAAATATTTTATATCTATACTCCAAATTTTCCTTGTTTCTTCCTCAACAGATGAATCTGGTGTTTCACTGCCTTTCACTGTTTCCCCAGAACCTGGTACATAAAGACCAGTGCTAATCACATTTTTTGCATTATGTAATGAGTGGGGAATCAACTCGTAGTTTTTGCTGTTCCACTTTGATCTTGCACAATTAATTTCATCTAAACAGCTACAGCTAGTAGCAACAATATGATTAACTGCTGTGACCGTGGTAGTGACAGTCAGCAGAAACAGAGGCATATAGCGCAGCTTGTATTATTGTGAAATTCTGTTTGTTGTGCACCCTTACAAATATTTTTATTCCTAGTAAGGAGAATAGTGAGGATCTGATCAGTCTTATCAGACTCCTTTTTTTTTTTTTTTTTTTCGTTGTCCCTGTTTCTTACTTTAATAATATTATCGGCATTGCCACAGCAATCCAATTACATCTTGTTGTGCTCTGCATAGGAATCCCAAATGCTACAGATCTCCTCAATACATCTTCTGCTGGTACAGACCTTATGATGCTACAGTCTGCCAAGGGGCTTTAAAGTGAACATATTCACTATAAGTTCTTACCTTTCCTTAAAGAAACACTGGAGTTTTAGCAATACCAATGTGTATTCCTATCACTGTGTTGGCCATTTTGGTGACTTTCTTCCACCTGCAAGGGGTAAAAATTGTATTTTACTTACCTTCTCTCCCACACAGTGCTGGTGTCAGTTGGAATGCAACGTCTCCTTGGCCAAGATCAAGATTGGGAGCAGTGGGAGGGTAGAGTGCATGTGCAACTATGCCGCGCCAATCGGTCTGAGACCATCTGATAGAAATAGCAAAGTTTTACGCTGCAATTTTCTCTGAAGTACTTCTAGTAGCAGTGTGAGTAACAGCCATTAGAGGCATTTAAACCCTGCAATGAAAACCGAACAGCAATGTTTTCAGCTACAGGATTAAACCAGGGGTGTTCCTTTTAAGCAATACATAATAATGCTGCTGGTGGTGCCGTCACCCCACTCCCATGTATCTCACCTACCTAGATATCCTCACACAGAGTGCATTTTCCCTATGGTTCCTATATGCTGGTTACATTGCCAGGACATAGCTACCAGGAGTGACATTACGACTGTAAGGATGGGAAGGAATTAATCTTTGTCCCAGGGAGTTTATTTCTTCATCATCATCATCTGCCTGTGCTAACAAAAGAGCCACTTCTGATTCTGCAGTGCTGTTTGTCCACACAGGAGTATAGACATTGGAAAACAGCCAAAGCTAGATCTTCCTGGTGAATATTTATGAATGATATATGAACCTCACATCTTTTCTGCCTGGTATTATGTGCAGTTAATTTAGAGAGCTCAACTTCCCTCTCTTGTGCATGCTTATACCCATGGTTTATCATTATTAGTATTAGTTAATTATCAACTGGACTTTGTACTTATGTCTGTTCATTCAGATTTAGTTTATTATAATTTTACATATTTTTCCAGCTTGTACTGGTATCAGCACCCAACAGAGGATGAACTACGAACACTTGCGGGGAAACAACAACTAAAGGGAAAAGGCAAGAAAGACCGGTAATTTTTTATTACTTCCTAAGTCACAGACATACAATTTTTGAATGTGTATGCAAAACTTGATTCTATTACTAAGATACGAATAAGTTAAATTACTTAAGATATATTTTTCCCTTGTGTGGTTAAACTTACCTGTAAGGGAAAAGTCAGACTCTATTGAGATAATCCTGGTAATCTTTGGTCCAATCAGATGCTTCTCATTGGTTACTATGCTTCTCGATTAGAAGTATTTGATGTAATTATGTGTGATGCCAAACTTAAAGGGTTACTCCAGCCTTTACAACTAATGATGTGTTTTTATCGCATCATGCCCTATAGGGCATATCTACCTAGCCCCCTGCCTAAATGATTCAAGTGTATTTTACTGACCTGCGCTGATCTCTCTCTTTCATCCAACATCATGGCAGCTCTCCTGTAGCAGACAAACTGCACACAGGGAGGGAGGGAAGAACAACGCTTCCTCTTGCAGGCTATTCCTGCACAGGTAGATATCTTTACGTCCGTTGCCAGCACGTTGTGCGTGCTGGCGACAGATTTAAAATGTGCACAAAATTAAATACAAAGTATGCCAGGCATGTAACTAGCCCCTAGCACAAATTAGAATGTGTCTGGATGTGCAGCAGTTAAAGCAGAAACGCTACGCATCCACACTCCTGCCACCATGACTACTTCAAATCAGTGAAGTGGTCATGGTGGATGGAGTAACACTTTAAGTCCTTTTGAAAAATTGAAGGAGGTAAGAAAACAGAGCCTTGTTTAACCAAATGTCTTCATTGCCTTTTATCAGAAACAGCAGTTTTTTTACATTGTCAAAGAAAAAGGGTCGTCGTCTATGCAACTAAACCACTACTTGAAGATGTAATGATCCTAGTGCTTAGTGTCCCTTTAAATTAAATGCTCAAGAGTGGATAATTCAGGAAACAAGACAATATTTACCTATTTCTGGCATGTTTGAAGCAGCTCTTATCTTTCCCTTTTGTCTATTTATACATTAGACAAAGCATATCTAACAGTTCTTATAAAATACCTGTCAACATACATTCCAAAATCAAGGACTGTTTGACAGAAACATGTATTAAATTGGGTTTATGTGAAACCTCTTTTATAATTTTTAATTTTGTTTTAAATGTTTTTGCCTTTTGTATAAATGTGTTGGCTTTATGAGAGCCATTAATATCTCAATTATTGTTCCCAAGAAATACTTAAAACCAAATAATAATTTCTATTCCTGTGTTAACTTTTCTATTCTCTGTTAAGCATGGATATTTAAACTTGTTCCATACATTTCTCTATTTTACTTTTGCTATAAATCGTGGAAGCTCTGGAAACCGGATGTAGAGGTAAAATGAAGCCAGGCATTGAAAATTTTCTATTTTTATAATTTATGCAGAAAATATAATGGTCATATTGAGAATAAACCTTTAACTATTCCGAAGGACATTGACCTGCATTTGGAGACAAAATCTGTTACTGAAGTGGATGCTTTAGGTAAGTGCAAGTATGTCGGGAAGTGAGTGCATTTTGGTATTTACTTGGAATAAGTATGTACTATTTATGTATTTTTAAGAACCTTTTTCTCCCTTTTTTTTCTTTTTTCTTTTAGCTCTACACTATTTTCCCGAGTACCAGTGGTTGGTAGATTTTACTGTTGCAGCCACTGTGGTTTACCTTATCACTGAAGCTTACTACAGTTTGATGGTCCCATCCCAGGAAATGAATATTAGCATAGTATGGTGTATGCTTGTTCTGGCGTTTGCAATGTATCCTTTCTTAAGAGAAAATAGGGGTTTTATTTAGAAATAGCAGGATGGAAATGGTGACTCTGAGATGGTGTTATCCCTAGGAAATTGTTTGTTTAGCCCAGTGGTAGTCAACCTTTTTCTACTTACCGCCCACTAATGCATCTTTCTTGATGGAAAAAGTTCCTTACCGCCCACCAGTTTTCACGCAAGTGCAGAATATTTTTTTAGAAAGGAGGGTGTTTTCAAAAACAAATGTACGTACATTTATCTTTTTATTTCTACTTTATGCATGTTTATAATGTTTTTAACAAAGTAAATTGAAATTACCTTTACTAGTGATTAATGAGATCCTTGAGGTTGATGCTGCGAGTCTAAATATTTGATATCTGGTTAGATTTTCGTAAGGAACAAACTAAGGTCTCCTCTTTCAGTGCTATTCAGACGATTTCTCTGTTTGCTCATATGATTTCTCATCTGTGCATCAGCTCCCCTCCTCTCCCTCATCAATTCCCATCCCCACCTTTTTCACCCCTTTTTTTTTCTAGTTTTTAACCTTCCCTATAGCAATGCCCAGTAGGAAGGCTGAGCTATGTAGCCCACTTACTATTATTAGCCAACAACAATTCTCTCATTTTCCTTCTTTCTCCTTTTTTTACAAGTACTCTGCTCCTTCACTCTCCTTTTTACAAGTACTCTGCTCTTTCTTTCTCCTATTCTACAAATACTCTGCTCCTTTTTTCTTCTATTCTACAAGTACTCTGCTCACAGACACACATTCACACACTCACAAACACACTCACACATACACTTAGACACACACACACTCACAGAGATACACTCACATATACTTAGACACATACACTTACATACACACACACTCACAGAGAAACACATGCACACAAACATACACACACTCACACTTACAGACACACACACTCACAAATACACTTATAGACACACAAATGATTAATCTTAAATGTCCACCCAGCCTCCCTACCTGGAGAGCTTGTGTGGATCTGTCCCTGGGGTCCAGTGGGGCTTCACTTCGGCAGGTGGAAGAGTTCTAATCCGAGGCGGTGAGGGGGCTCTAACCTCTCTGCTCCCTCCCGCGATGTTTACTGATGCCAGGAGCCGTCATATTCCGGCTCCTGCAGCATCAGCAAACCTCGCGCGAGGGAGCAGAGCAGAGAGGTTAGAGCTCCCTCGCCGCCTCGGATTAGAACTCTGCCGCGCCGGTGGGTCCAGAAGGTGGCCTGGCAGGAGGAAGTGCTTTCCTCCTGCCAGTCACTGAAATCTTGCGCCCACCTGCCCACTCTAAAAAGGAGAAATCCTCTCAAAAAGAGGATTTAGCCGCCGAAATCCCTACCGCCCACTTGTGGGTGGGAGGGACCAGGTTGACGACCCATGCTTTAGCCCTTGTCGAACATCTATCTTCCCAAGCTATCGACCCTTTTTGGTCGTGTTTCGAAACAGCTATAGAGTTAACGGCTGCTCAGTCCCAAATAATTATACCTGTCCCACAGCAAGATAATTCAAAAATATGCTTCTTTGTTATACGTGCTGCAATAATTTAACACTCCTGGACCTTACAGGAATAGCACTACAGGAGCAAGGGGAAGCAGGTAAGAAAGTGTATAACAACTATCAAAGCAATTTAAATAGATTGCGTATCTTAAAGGACCACTATAGTGCCAGGAAAACATACTCGTTTTCCTGGCACTATAGTGCCCTGAGGGTGCCCCCACCCTCAGGGTCCCCCTCCCGCCCGGCTCTGGAAAGGGGAAAAGGCGTTAAACGTACCTTTTTCCAGCACTGGGCGGAGAGCTCTCCGCCTCCGATCCGCCCTGTCGGCTGAATGCGCAGGCGCGGCAAGAGCTGCGTGCGCATTCAGCCGGTCACATAGGAAAGCATTATCAATGTTTTCCTATGGACGCTTGTGTGCTTTCACTGTGATTTTCACAGTGAGAAGCACGCAAGCGCCTCTAGTGGCTGTCAATGAGACAGCCACTAGAGGCTTTGGGGGAAGGCTTAACCCATTCATAAACATAGCAGTTTCTCTGAAACTGCTATGTTTATGAAAAAATGGGTTAACCCTAGAAGGACCTGGCACCCAGACCACTTCATTAAGCTGAAGTGGTCTGGGTGCCTAGAGTGGTCCTTTAATGATTAAATATATATTTGTTCTTTTTGGGGCTACACTGAAACTGATTTGAGAGATTTACTTTAAGATGGATTAATGATTCGTTTCTGGAGTTTGCTCATTTTGCCCAAAATGAGTCTGCCTAGACTTCTCTGGGGATTAATTGTGAGAATTTGGCCACAATTAGGAAAATCCTGCGTTTATAGATGACTGGTTCTTGTATGAACATAGGGAAAACATGAGACACATCCACTGGTTTTTGTGCCGAATTTTAGAATACACTTATCTGTGATGTGGCCGTTCCAGGTGTGATCCCTTTGGCACTTGATTTATGAAAAATGAAAGGAACATCATCTACAGCAAATTGCTGACAGCTGTGTATTTCTTAATATGGCTCTTAAATATTGTCTACTATCTTTATTACTCCTTAACCAAACTCCACCAGTAAAGTGCTCTTCTCGTTAACAACCCATTACTTCAAAGTTCAAGATGGTGGAGAAAGGTCATTGTGTGTTACATTTGGATTTTTCTTCTTTGTCAAAGCAATGGCAATTCTCATTGTGACTGAGAACTACTTGGAATTTGGACTTGAGACTGGTAAGAATAAACAATAAATAAGTTGGAACTAAAAAATGTTATGTACATAATAACTCTGTATATATTTGACTCTCCATTGTAGTTTTTGTAATTATTTATGATTTGAGAACTTGCCTGATAAAATTTGGAAGAAATAGTCAGACGAACATGTTTGGATTGGATGTTGCCTTTCATAGACTTTATATTTTTCATTTTTATTATTATGACTAATGGAGAGAGCAAAAATCCTTCTTCACTTTCTCTAAAAGTAATAACCACTATTAGACAATGATCAGTATAAAGGCTTGCAAACATCCCATCACTGTGCACTTGTTAAAGTTAGGCTTACAGCTACCATGTTGTATTAAAATTTATTATATTTATTGAAGTTGCTCAGATCTGTCCTGTCCATGTGCAAAAAGCATAGACGTCCGGTTTCATCCCGTGTGCTCTGACAGCATAAATAGCTCCTTCAACGAAAGAGCACTACTTTTATAATGCCTTAATTATTCCAATTTGATTAAAATGTCTATTTTTCTGTGCCGCTCAAATCTGCAGACTTGCGATTATTCACAATTGTCTATATATTTTAAATCTGCTCCGTAGGAAATAGTGGCTTTCTCATGCGCATTTTGGGGACATTTTACATGTAAATACTCTGACATTAAATGTGATTTCCCCCCTTACTTTGGCTTCTAATGGAATCTGTTTAGGCTTGGAATGGAGTTAATATCTCAATAACTGGTTTGTTTTCCGTGCTGGGTGTACTTCCTGGTTTTCATGGAAGAAAATATATAATGAGCAGTGCACTGCCTTTTACAATACCTTCAATTTAAAGGAACATGTTGGTATTTTTTGTTCGATAAACCTCACCATCACTTGGCAAAGAACCTGCTCTGCTTCACTTGCCTAACGAATGCATAAATATGTGTTAAAACTGGCAATTATCTTTTTACATTACATTATTTCTGTTTGCCTTGTTAGCAATTTATATAACAGAAAAACAAAATGTTCTCGGTTGTCCTTGTACAAAGAAATCCACTTGCCTGCCATTACCATCTATGTTTTTCCTGCAGGCTTTGCAAATTTTTCAGAGAGTGCTGTTCAGTTTCTCGAAAACCAAGGCCTTGAAACCAAGTAAGTGGTTTATTTTCTGTTGTTGACACAGAAAAAGTGCTTGCTTGTTTGCAGTGTTTTGAACTCTACTTGTATGGTCATATGGCCCTGGTTATAGCAAATAATAAATGTAATGCCCCTTAATTTCTTTGGAAGTTGTATTGAACGAAATCTAATCCTAATTATTACTAGTTGTTAGATTTTGATTTTTTAATTCATGTAGCTCAGTTACCTGTTTGACTGCTTTTATTATATGTTTGAATGCATGTACTTTTGTCTCTCTGTTTAGAAATGTTTATTATATTATACTGGTATGCTTGCATGGACATTAGGTGTTTATAAGCATTATGTGGTGATTCCCAAGCTCCTGCAGTGGATATGATACATATGAAAGTGTGTGACTACAACCGAGCAAATGGTGGTTTAAATGTTGGCTTCTGGAAATATGACTCCCTGAAGATCTCCTTTATGGATGCTGCCACCTTACCCTTTATCTGTGTATTGCTGCTTCATCCACTGTTGTACTTTTGCGCATTCACAAAAGTTTAAAACTGAGGTGAAAGATCTATAGAACGTCTCTTATTACATGACTCTCAACAGTTGCTTGGAAATGACAAGTTGACAGCAGAGGCTCAATGTCGATATTCTCCATAACACAATCTAATCTGTTTTTTGTTTTAAAGAACTCTCATTGCAGTCAAAATGAGTTTCTCAAATATTCTTTTATACTGCTGCCTTTAAAGGACCACTATAGGCACCCAGACCACTTCAGCTTAATGAAGTAGTCTGGGTGCCTGGTCCAGCTAGGGTTAACCCTTTTTTTTTTTTATAAACATAGTTTCAGAGAAACTGCTATGTTTATAAATAGGTTAATCCAGCCTCTAAAGCCTCTAGTGGCTGTCTCATTGACAGCCGCTAGAGGGGTTTGCGTGCTTCTCACTGTGAAAATCACAGTGAGAAGACGCAAACGTCCATAGGAAAGCATTATGAATGCTTTCCTATGAGAGTGGCTGAATGCGTGCGCAGCCCCTGCCGCGCATGCGCATTCAGGCGGAGAGGAGGAGGAGGAGGAGGAGAGCTCCCCGCCCGGCGCTGGAGAAAGAAGTAAGTTTTAACCCCTTCCTCTCCTCAGAGCCCGGCGGGAGGGGGTCCCTGAGGGTGGGGGCACCCTCAGGGCACTATAGTGCCAGGAAAACGAGAATGTTTTCCTGGCACTATAGTGGTCCTTTAATATTCAAAAATGGCAGTGTCCAGTTTCTGGTATTATAGCAAGATACAGTTTTCACTTTAGAATGCTGTGTTTTCGGTTGTCGTCTTCTTAAATGTGACTTATTGAAATTCAACTTTTATGTGGTTCATTATATATCCTTCTCTTTGGTTAATTTTTCCTTTTTGTTAGTGCGTAATAAAACAGACTTCCAGAGCTTTGGAAAAGGGTTAAGGTTTGGGGTGTTTTTGTATGTGTTTTTTTTTTATATACTTTACTATTATTCTGTAGGCATTTTGGACCTGCCTAATCGACTGCAGTTTATGTTTAAAACTTATTGTATAAATCAGTTCCATTTTCTGGCCCTCTTTGATAGAAGTGAAAGTGGGAATAACTAAAGCTATTTGATATCTCTCACTATAGAGGTCCAGTCTCGCAGCTGACTTTCAAGTTCCTTCTTGCTGTCCTGTGTTCATTCATTGGAGCTTTCTTGACATTCCCTGGCTTGCGCCTTGCCCAGATGCACCTGGATGCACTAAACCAAACAACGGAGAAACTGACTCAGTAAGTCATTTATGTTAATGCCTAAATAAAACCAAAGCCAGTGGCAGGGTTTGCTGATTAGCAGTAGGACATCTTACAAAAACATGCTGATTTTAAAATGTTCCTTCTGTTTTTTTGTTTTTTTTTTCTTCAGGTTTCTACTCCATATAAACTTTTTAGCTCCTCTCTTAATGGTTCTGCTTTGGGTGAAGCCAATAACCAAGGATTATATTCTGAATCCACCATTAGGCAAGGAAAGTGTGCCTTTGTAAGTTTTCTTATTAAAATACTTGTTTATATGTCACAACAGCTGGGGAATTGAAATGTAAGAAGGTACATATTTTTGTATGTTGGATGACAAAGCTTTACAAGAATGTTGGTGTCCCTTCCAGTCTTTCAGTAAGTTATTTAATGCAGCGTAATTCCTGAATTACTGTAGTGTCCCTCAATTGGAAGGATACATCTTTTGACTATCACTAGATAGCTATAATCTGCAGCACATCCATCTCTCTGTGAAAACTATTATCTTTTTTTTTTTCTTCTTTTTTTCTCTTTCTTCTCCCCATACATCCTTTGTGGCAGTACTAGGCATGTTCCTCCTCTGGACATGTAGTCCTAAGAATGCAATAAAATAGACTGAGATCCCGAGCTAAGCTGTTTATTTATCCCTTGTAGAATGACTGAGGACTCCTTTAATTCCTTACGTCTCTGGATCATCATTTTGTTGTGTGCATTGAGACTGGCTTTGATGCGTCACCACATGCAAGCGTATTTAAATTTAGCACAAAAATGTGTGGATCAAATGAAGAAGGAAGCAGGCAGAATAAGCACCGTGGAACTACAGAAAATGGTAAGATTTAGTATAGAATGGTCAAACTTCTATGATGCTTTAAAGGAACACTATAGGGTCAGGAACACAAACTTGTATTCCTGACCCTATAGTGTTTAATCCACCATTTAGGTGGCTTGCCCTCCCTTAGAAAATTTTAACTCTCCTTGTTTCCTGAGCCACGCAGGTCCGCCGGCGCTGTCCCTGCCCCTGATCCACCTTCTTGGTGACTTCATCAGAATTTTTCAGTCAATCCAATGCACTTCCATAGGGGATGGGGGCAGGACCAAACACTGTTTTGGCCAATCATCACCTCCTCCTAGAGATGCATTAAATCAATGCATCTCATGAGGAACATTCCGCGTCCCCATGCAGGGCGTGGAGATGCTGAATAGTAGTGCTGCCTACTGTGCATCACTACCCCAGGAAGCACCTCCAGTGGCCATCTGAGTAGTGGCCACTGGAGGTATTCCTAGGGGTCAATGTAAACACTGCCTTTTCCCTGAAAAGGCATATACATGACAATGCCTGCAGGAGATGATTATACTCAGCAGAACAATTGCATTAAACTGTAGTTGTTCTAGTGACTATAGCATCCCTTTAATGTTTGGAACGTGTAAATGTTGGTAAGATAGGACTGCAATTTCCTGCTTCTAAATGTTTCCATAACGTGAATAATGGTGAAATATCTTATTTTATCTTATTTTCCATTGTTATGGTGTATTTTTCTTTGCTGCTGTCCTTTTAGTGGTCTGTAATTTTATTTTGAGCCACGTTGCCTTATCTACCTTGTGGAATTCTAACAGCAATTTTCTTGGTTTTAGGTTGCTCGTGTGTTTTATTACCTTTGTGTTATTGCACTACAATATATGGCCCCTCTGGTGATGCTCCTCCACTTGACTCTGCTTCTAAAAACGCTAGGTATGAAAGGCTACGCTGGGTTGATGTTCACAAAGTGTTCTAGAAATGGATGGGTGTGTACATAGTGCAGGAGAATCCATGCTGTCTAAAAAATTTACTTAATGCGCTATTTAAAACATTGCAAGTAATGTCTACTTAAAATTATGGTTTAGTACTTATTCGTTCAGTGTTTGGTTGTTTTTTTTTTTTAATTTAGTTTATATATTTTTTTTATTAGGTAATCATACATGGGGTTTCTACGAGGATTCACTGGATGTTGGTCATGGATCGCACTCTCTTGTTTCTGAACTTCCGTGTCCTGATGAAAAAACAAAAGCAACCGTTAGCCAAATTACAATGGCACTAGGTGGACTAAAAAACATTTTTACTCCTCTGCTTTTTCGGGGACTGCTATCATTTCTCACCTGGTGGATTGCAGCCTGCCTTTTCTCTATAAACCTTTTTGGTTTGTTTTACCACCAGTATTTAATTGTGGCATGATTCAGACTTAATCATAATGTTCGAAGGACCAACATAAGGCCAGATGTACTGGTGCAGCACAAGTCTACTTGCAAATATGCCGACCGCAACATGTCTTGTTTCAATGTTTCCTCTGGAATCTCAGGGTAAATATTGTTTAGAATCACTGTTGAGCATTTAATCTTCATTACCTCAGTGGAAGAATACTTAACTGCTGATTTTGATCCTGTAATAAGTGTTTTTTTGTTTTTGTTTTTTTTTTCATCTCCTTTTTTCTTCAAAGACATCTCTCCCATTGAACTTGTTTTGCACTCACATTGTTCTTAGATTTTCACCAAGTATGGATGACCACTCTAAAAAGAGTGCCTTTTTTTCGTTTACCATTGTATGACTTTTTTTTTTTTTTTCCTCTATAACTATCTGAGCCATATGAAGAAAGATGAGGTTTAACGATAACCAAGAAATAAATTGTTACTACTGTTGGAGCTGTCAATTTTTAATGACATAATCCAACAGGACAGAATGTATTTCTACTGTATATTACAGTAAAGAAAGCTGTGTGGGCGTACACGAGCAACTGCGTGTTTTCCTGAACCCTTAATATGCCTGAACGGCAATTGTGTTTTTCACATGCAAATGTTGTTCAGTAGTTTAGTTCGATTTAAATCTGTTTCATCAATGACACTTGACAGATGTTGGTGCTAGTGTTTAAGCCACACAGGGCTGTGTGAGGTTTATATGCTAACGTAATTGTTTAATAATCTAAATCATATCGCTCAAAATAATCACTTTTAAATTGCTTGGCAAACTTGGAATCTGGTGGTGGGGGAAAGATATGTTGTATATTAAATATATAATATATCAAAATTTTAAAATTATTTTGAAACAATGTTACATGTATAGAATTATCAAAATTTGTCATCCAACACTCAATTATTTATTTTTCCACCCCATATTTCTTTAAGGGCTTTATTGCGAATTGTTCATTATAAACTGCCTGTAAAATATATATAATTTTTTTTTTTACATGCAAAAATATATGTATATGCAAAGGTTTTAAAACTTTTATATAATTTATACGTTCCAGACACGCACACTTTTGTTTGTGGATTTTTTTTATTTTTTTTTCTTCATTCAGCATCCTTTTGAATAAAACATTTGTAGCCCAGAGAATGTTAATCCTTACACCATTCGTTCATTGGTAATACGTAGGTTCCCACGGTGCCACAAAATCCAACAATGGCAGGAATTCATTGGATAGGCCAAAAAGCAACTGTCAAAGCCTTGTTCATTTTGACTGCACTTTCCATTGCTTGTGTAACCCACGTGGCCTTATATAGAGTTTTTCAACTTGCTTGTCAGAAGTCTCATTAGAATCTTCTTTGATATTTGATCTTGGATTAGAAGTGCAAAACTTGCAAGGTATCTGACTATGAAAATATTTTGGCACCTTGAAGGAACACTATAGTGTCAGCAATACAAGCATCTATTCCTGACACTATAGTGTTTAACTACTTAGGTGACCAGCCCCCTCCAATTGCATGGGAAAGGTGTGTTTACTCCCCATTTTTCCCACTCCGGCCACGTCATGGATAGCCCCACCCTTGTGGCTGAGATCATCACGTGTGTGAACTTCCTTTTCTCTGAAAAAGCAGCGTTTACAGTGCTCTTCCTGCAGGGACAGGCTATAGACACCACCTTACGTTAAAGGCAAATGTTTCTTTGCGCTCCTACAAAATTACTTCTACACACCTTACTTTGGAGTATGTGACATGAGGACAAACTAAAACTTTAATGCCACCCTTGAAGTGGTTTGTGGGTGTTTTAATCTCTATGCTTAACAGTTCTAGAAATAAAAAGCTGTAAAAACAAATGTTTTTTTTTTTTTTTTAGTTCTTTTATTTTTTCATTTGATCTTAAAATAAGGGTCTACAAGAAAACCCCCAAATCTCAATGTGTGATAGAACTGTTATTTTAAAACCTTCTCATTCTATAAAGTATAAAAATAAATCTTGTTGATGTTACAATTGATTGCAATATGTACCAACAATTTTAAGGCTTTTTTTAATGGATTTAAGCCACACAAGCCTTTGAAGTGGTATGAATGAAGAAAAAAAGAAATGTAGGTTCACTTAATATTGACTGAAGTTTATTGCATGAAAACTAGAATCCAATTAAAATATGTAGTGGAATGTTTCAGTTAAAACCGAATATTAGGAAACAAGATATCACATCCCTGCTCACAATGAGAAGACCGATAATCCCCAGCTAGGGATATGGCAAAAGAGGTAGACACAAATTAAATGTGACTCCACAATGCACTCAGTAATGCGACAAGTATCCACTAATCTAATAGTGCCATTTAAGCTCATTTAGTGTGTGTGGATGGCACAGACCCCACCAACACAAATATATGGTGTATGTCTCATCACGAATTCGTAGTCCACGATATATATTGAAGACAGGAAAAACAATGGTACCGTATCTAATGAATCGATGATAAATGTTTATAAAAGCTCACAAAGTGTTGCACCTTCCTGGCTCTAAGAAAGACATATGTTTGTGGAATGTCCTATCTATCTATCTATCTATCCATCTTTCTGTATGAAAGAACTGAAATGCAGATGCCCAGAAGCTGACTGCTAAGAGATTGTGAGTTGTGACAGTCAACTTCACAGAGATTTGAGTGGGACACGATAGCTGGAATAGCTCTTTTTATGTTTCCCAAACCCCTTCCTCCACAATGTGAGAATTTTTATTATTGGTTTAATAAATTTGTTTTACTTTTTACATGTCCTCTCTCTTGCCTTTTTTAACAATCCTTTCAGCAGAATTCATGGTGGGGCTGGAGGCTAATGTTAGTGTGGAATCTTGATTTGAACCCTGGGATACGGATTAAAGGCACACTATAGGCACCCAGACCACTTCATCTCATTAAAGTGGTCTGGGTGCAGTGTCCCTGCCCTCTTAACCCTGCAATATAAAGCTGCAATGTTTATATTGCAGTGCTAAGACTGCCTCTTGTGGCTGTCTACCAGTAGAGCCACTAGAGGCAGTCTTCAGAGTTTGACTCAAAAAAACGACGCTGTACGTCCTCACTCTTTGAATAACGATGCCCAGTGTCTTCAAAAACTCCATAGGAATGCATTGTGTCCGACCCAGCGCCAAGGGACATTGGCGCTGGAATAAGGTGAGTAACTGAAAGTTTTTTTGTTTTTTAAGTACAGAATCTTAGTACAGTAACATCAGAAATTTAATCTGCCTTCTTTTGCACAATTTCAGAATTTTGGATGTCTTTGTTAAAATGTATGCAACAAATAATTTGGTAATGTTAATGTTTAATGTTTTTAGGGAAGTTTAAAACACTGTGTGCAGTATGTGATCACTGTATAGATTGGTGCTGCCAATTTTTTCACATTGTTTTTGAGATTGTACATGAATCCTATTAACATTTTGTATTCCTTTTCCATTTCGTTTGTCTCCATTATGTGCACATTATTTACTACCCAACCAGTTATGGTTTTCCAAAAAATCATAAGACACAGGCATTCTCTGTTAATGTCCCCCAACATACCTCCTGACCATGTATTTTTTTAAGGGTGACACAAAGAACCCAGGTACGCTGCACACTTTCGTTAGTTATGAAGATTGATTAAAGAAGATATGAACTACAGGTCTAAACTTTATCTATGCTGAAAAATATAGCTGCAAATAAAATGCTTCTACTGAAATTACCATGCCACATTACAATTTTGCATATCTTTTAACCAAAAGCACATTGTACCTTGTTCTGCAAAACTGTTTTATATTGCAGGTTTAAAACTACAAGGCCACTGCACCCAGAACGCTTCATTGAGATGAAGTGGTGTGGGGTGCTTTTAGTGGTCCTTTATACCAGGGGTTCCCAACCCAGTCCTCAAGTACCACCTAACAATCTAGGATTAAGGGATTATTACCCTGTTGTGTCTAAAGTGTGTGTTGTTTTTTTTTCCCCCCCAAAAAAAACACCTTGGACACAATTGAGTAATCCTTAAATCCTGGACTGTTAAGGGGTATTTGAGGATTCGATTGGGAACCACTGCTTTATACTAAAGATTGGAATCCATTCATATGCACTAGACCTGCAGCAGATTTGAAATACTAAACATTGAATAGACAATGGTAGTGATACCTGCTTCATGACACATAAGATATTTAATTTGAATCCCAAACATGTACAGATAAAATGTAACACTCAACCTTCAACTAAACTCACTTTTCATTTGTGTGATGGAAAATGCCCTTTAACGTCTCATCTCTTACCACCTACATGCTCGCCCCCTCCCAATAATCCCTCTAATCTTTTCAGGTATATCTATATCATTTGAGGCCATCTGCGTAATTTCCTCTCATACTTAGACCATATACTCATTTAGGCAGGGCCTTTTTTTACTTACTAGTCCCTTGTATCAAATCATGTTTTATTAGAATTCATTGTCTTGTTTTACCTATTATACAGCGTGGCGGAATAAGTTGGTGTTATATAAATAATTAATCTCAAGTAGCCAACCTCAGTAGCTTGAAAGTAATAGCACTCCCTCTTAAAGTTAATAATTTGCATTTAAATGAATTACAGTATGTAATCTGCAACTGGGATTCTTCATAGTTAGCACTGAATTTTGCTGTGTGATTTGAGGCAAAGCTGGCTTTCATGTGTGTTACCTAATCTAACTAAGTGGAAATAAACTCCCTTAAATGTTATCATGGGAAAAAACTCTTAATTTTATGTTCTCAAACTGTGTTTAGTCCCACATCATTAATGGATAAAACCACCATTATGATGCACTTTTCATCACACTTGAAATTGCATAAATTGTCTTAAATATATACTTTTGCCAATGAGATGGGGGTGCATAAGGAAATACACCACAAAAATAATGCTTAGAGCAACTATAGATAGACCTTTTTAAAGTGTAAACTAAACTCCTTTGAATTACCAAAACGCCAACAGTAATTTCCCCAAAAGGATTTTGTACTTGTGACAATATGGTCCCCTGATGCAGCCTCTTCACCTGGTGGATGTTCCAGAGGAGATCGTCAATAAGACCAGGGTCAAATCAACGATTATATCTGCCCCAGGATGCTGGTGTACTGGGATCTGACCAGAGCCTGGGTAGGCACAGAGCCTTCTACCCACGTTAGCAGGAGGCAGGTATTGTCCCCTCTGTCTCAGCATCGCCTGCCTGTCTGGGTAGAAATTCATCCTTCTACCCACTAAAGCAGGTACCTAGAAGACCGGTATAAACCACTCTACCTGTTGTCCTTCTCCCAGACAGGTATTGTTCACTCTGGCTGTCCTTTTTATAGGCAGGTATCATCTGACGACTTTTCCAGACATCACCTTTACAAAGACACTTGTGGCTCACTGCGAAGTGAGTAGCTCAATGCCAGAAATTGCAACCCATGAGCTTCACAATGCTGGTGCTTTAGGTTTATTCGTGTAAAGAGGATATAACAAAAATAAAAGTTTCCGTCTACGTGGCTTTAGTCATGCACCTGCCATTACCTAGAGTGCCACACCACTCTTTCTTTTGGAATTCGCTCAATGCTGGCAAATTGAAGATGCTGCCACAACGCAACCCTGAAGTTGTCCCCAAACCCTGGGATAAATGTCCTCCTGAAAGTTCCCCATTAACAGTTAATAGTGAAGGTCTGAAGACTCTGCTGCTGGAATCGATGACAAACCCAGACACGGCACGCAGTTCACAATGAAGCCACCACACAGTACTTTCCACTGAGGACCAATACATAAACCATAATATTATGGGGAATCATGCAAACAATCACAAAACACAAAAAAATATAACTATGGAAAGGAAGGAAAGGCAAACACTGCCTAGACATGTCTTCTGTCTGCATAAGCCATAATATGCAAATCTACTTCAATGTGTAAATTAACATGTTTTACTATTTAAGTAGTGGCCATAACTGTTGCAAGATCACAACGTACAGGTGGTGCTGTACAGGCTTGCAAGATCGCTCACAACCAACAGGTGTTGCTTCACAGGCCCCACAGCCCAATCCACCTAGTTGGTACAGAACAACAGCAGGACAGGAGAGCACACAACACCTTTAACAAATAACATTAAAAAAAAATGCACACCCTGCACAGCAAACACAGTCCCACATAATCCTAGCCCAAGTTGGAGAGACACGGATAACAGAGATCAACAGTTAATAAATTAGTTTCCAGAGGGGCAGAGTTCATATGGTCCTACTGATGGTGATTACTGTCTTAGTACTATCAGTTGCTATTCTCCATAAAGCAAAACATTTGAAAATTCCAATGCCCCCTGTTTCAATAAGAAAAATGTTTTCTATTACATGGTAGGGCTGAAATTCTTGGACACATTTGTCTGATATTAAAGAAAGGGGATTAGATAACACTTTCTTGTTACCATGCTAATGAATGAATGTCTTATTTGGATGGATAGATAAATGAAGTAGGAAGTTGTCTTGTTACAAAAACATATCCGTATCACTAGTATCAAATACTGAGATTCAATAAAAGAAAAATTGCACAGAAATATAAATTGAAGTCCATGGATATTGATTAGGATTTGACATTGCTCAACAATACTGAAATACAATATGTACTGATAAAGCAGGTGCAATTTAAAGGATATATTCACCTACCAGTGAATTGACAAGCAAATAGCATTTATAAAAGTTGGGGAAGGGCTGCGCCAATAAGCTAGTAGAAAGTAAAAAATGGATGAATAGCCCCAAATAAATCCTCATTTAAACAGCAGTAGAAGATCGAAGGTACTTGATAGAGTGTAGATATATAGATTCTTCTACAGAGATGGGTATGTCCAAATGTCCAATTGCAGTGTTACAGCCTCTGGCCTCCAGTATGTAGGTATGACTACAAGAAGCCTTAAGATAAGACTGAGTGAACATTGTAGAAATATTAAGAATGGGTATTTAAGGGCACTCAAGGCTGCTACAGCCAAACAGGCTCTGGCCTATCAGGAGTCCCAGTGAAACTTCAGATATCTGCTAATACGAAAAGGTGGCGAAGGACAATCCTCAATTTATGAATTGCAGAGCACCTCCTCCCAGCACTTGTGAATGGGAATCCACACTGTAGTAGAGCGGCCCGCAGCTGCTGTTGCAGCTCCTGTCCTTGACCTGTACCTGGCCAGCCTGGTGCCCACTGGAACCCAGGGAACCCACCCACACTGCTAGATTTACACAGAAATGCACAATGACCCTCCCCTCATACAAATAATACTAACAGCCCACAAACAAACATACACACAATCCGCACAAACGTAACCCGCTAAAAATCCACATGCATGCACACAACCCCACATGCAGCCTCTCACATGCAATACCCCAAACAGCCCCCACACATACACACACTACCAAACACACAATGTGACATATCCATCCACACACACATTTCCACAAGCAGCCCCCATACACGGCCCACATTCATATGTATCATACACGATGCCACAAACTACTCCTGAACATATACAATATAATAGCTTATATACGCACAAATACAACGATACAAAGCAATTACAGTATAAATAACACAAGAAGAATACGGCTCCATACACACCTCAATTTAAAAAAAATAGGACTGGCACGCTACGGGACATCACAATCCTATATCGGCACAGTGCTGCTAAAAGGTTGCCTACCCCTGGTACAGGCCTTGGAGAGGCGGTAACATCAGAAATATCTTGGGTAAAACAGAGATGACCACTAATACTATGCCCCTTCCCGTTATTTTTAACTTTAATAATAAAAGTAGTCACATAAAAAAAGTTATCAAAAAACACTGACACTTATTGTGTATTTTAAATCAAGAAAAGTATTTTGGTTACTTTGCTGTACCTATCCACTTTTTATTGTGTTTTATATGCACTTTTATTATTTTATTCAATTTTCCTGGCTTTTTATTGTTCCTGTATTTAAAGAAATCCAAGGTGGGGATCATATCACCAGCGCTTTACCTGTAGAGCAGTGTTTCTGCTCTATGCTTGTGAGTATTATGTAATCCAATTGAGAGCACTATTGTTGCCTTTTATCCCTTTCTGGAGCCTTGGATACCCAGACTGGGCTGACGGACGCATCTTTCCTGCATATGCTATAAGTGGGGATTATACTTTACACCAGAGCTGGATATAGCTCTTTTAAATGTGAGTGCACTACCTTTTTATACATATATCTTATTCTGGATTCATACTTATTGCACTATTGGTTGCCCTCGTCTCTTCTTTTGTCTCCATATATACACGTATAATTTGAGACATTTGGACGTACCCATCCCTGTAGAAGAGTCTATACATCTACACTCTATCAAGTACCTTTGATCTTCAACTGCTGTTTAAGTGAGACTCAAATTATTTTTGCATATATGGAGACAAAAGAAGGGACGAGGGCAACCAATAGTGCAATAAGTATAAATCCAGAATAAGATATATGTATAAAAAGGTAGTGCACTCACATTTAAAAGAGCTATATCCAGCTCTGGTGTGAAGGTTGTACAGCTGTATAATCCCCACATAAGGGATATGCAGGAGAGATGCATCCATCAGCCCAGTCTGGGTGTCCAAGGCTCCAGAAAAGGATAAAAGGCAACAATAGTGCTCTATTGGATAAAATAATATAAAAGATAAATAAAATAATACTCACAAGCATTGAAACAATGCTTTATAGGTAAAGTGTTGGTGGTATGATCCCCACCTCGAATTTCTTTGAGTACAGGAACAATAAAAAGTCAGGAAAATGAATAAAATGATAAAAGTGCATATAAAATACAATAAAAAGAGGATTAGTACAGCAAAGTAACCAAACGACTTTTATTGATTTAAAATGTAAGGTTAATTGTTGTGCTACATTTTTTTCTCAAAGGAAAAGGTTCCAACACCGAATGGAATAATGGAAACATTATTTGAGGTGAAAACTGTGTGATAGTCAATGAATGCCTACAGGGTTACTCACTAAAGTGGAAATCCAAACAAGCCAAACTCTAAACATTCTCCAAGTGAGCTATGTTTTCATAAATGTCACACAACTGTAGACCTAGGACTCCTCGTCACACTATGCAAGAATTCTAAGACATTACTCCTGGCCCAATGGCTGATTTTACACTTACAACTCCATTTCTCATGCAAAGCAGAAAAGATGACCCCCAGCTCTGTCCGGCACTGTCTCAGATTCCCAACCTCTGAAACTGAGGTCTGAATTAAAAGCACTGGCCTCTTATGTAATCATTACAGGAACACTATAGTCACCTAAACAACTTTAGCTTAATGAAGCCGTTTTGGTGTATAAATCATGCCTCTCAGGTTTTACTGCTCAATTCACTGCCATTTAGGAGTTAAATCACTTTTTTTCTGTTTATGTAGCTCTTGCCACACCTCCCCTGGGTATGATTGACACAGCCTGCATGAAAAAATTGGTTTCACTTTCAATCAGATTTTCAGAATTTACCTTAAACAATTTTATCTCTTGCTCTGTAAATTGAACTTTAATCACATACAGGAGTCTAGCAAGCTATTAATATAGCAGGGGATAAGAAAATCTAAATTAAATAGAACTTGCAATAAAGGAAGAATATACATTAGATGACACTTTACAGGAAGTGTTTAGGAAGGCTGTGCCAGTCACATGCAGGGAGGTGTGACTAGGGTTCATAAACAAAGTGATTTAACTCCTAAATGTCAGATAATTGAGCATTGAGACTGCAGGGGCATGATTTATACACCAAAACTGTTTTATTAAGCTAAAGTTGTTTTGGTGACTATAGTGTCCGTTTAAAGTGGATTTACTGACCCTCAGATACTCAATTAACCCCTTAAGGACCAAACTTCTGTAATAAAATGGAATCATGACATGTCAGATATGTCATGTGTCCTTAAGGGGTTAAAGATACCATCAGGTCTGAAACAGATGACAGACGTGCAGATCATTCAGGCCTGGAAAGCAGGGTGATGTCCCTGAACCATCTAGTGCAAGTGCACACATAAAGCCTTGTGTCTTCTGTGGAGGATTTAGTTTCAAGTGCTGATGTAAACTTACATTTATCCACACTTAAAGAATGATTTATGGCAAAAGCAAGGGAGGGGCAAAACAGGATCATCCGTTTCACTGTATTATAACTTATCTCTCTTTTTTTTTTTTCTTCTATATCTATATCTTTTCTTGGGTGAAGATTGTGTCTCGGGAATATAAAATGGAGTTCTCTAGGTGACTAGCTTATTTCTGTGGACAGACACTTCCAAATCCCTATTACGTTGTCATCAGATATTGCTTCACTTTTCCATGGCAGGAACCACAGAGTTGTGTGCTCTGCCTTTTGGATTCAGTATGACCATGAGAGTGTTTTCCAGTGTTATTGATCCTCATTGCTCAAATAAAACTCAATTTTCAATTATTTGGACGATATCCTCATTATGGGAAAAGAGCAGATCCACCATGGAGATATATCAAGATAGTGTCCTGAAAATTCTACTGTCTCACAGTTGAATGATCAGCATTCAACCAACCATATTATTCTAAAAAAAAAGAATAGAAATTCATCAAAGTCTGTTTGATTTATTTTTCATTAAAGTCGTGTTGAAATGCAAAAACATCCCCCCCCAAAAAGGTTGATCACGAAAAAAGCTGTTTTATAGAATGTCAAGCTTTTTACTGCAGCTTTGATTTAGCAATTTTTTTTATTTTACAATGCTTGAGACATGTTTGATAAGAGAATTTCCTTATGTTTCAATTTGTCAGTAAGTCATGCATTACAGTTGCAGATCAGGAAAGCTTTTTAGCTGTATGTAATCCTCACAGGCAGCCTTCAGAGATGTCAATTTGTAGGTTCTGTTTGAATACTCGGCTGCACAGAAACCTGTTACTTCTCTGGGTGACATAAATTATTTTTATTAAGTAGATCCAGCTGTTCTAAATGTGGCAAAATGCAGCTAGAATTGATTTGCTTTATAGGAAATAGGGCTCGCTGATGGTAGTGATGGTGCTCAAGTACTTGGTCAATTTATTCAGAGGAGATGTGTTATAACGCAATTCATAATTAATGGGAATTTAGCCCAAAATACGCAAAATTGCTATCTTTCAGTTTTTTATTAAGGAAACAAACTTTAGAATGTATTGGTTTATTTCTATATAGATTTGTTCCTAGATTTTGTATCAAATTCCCCCCTTGACTACTAAACTATTGAAATATTGCTCAAGCTTTCCCCACAGTCAACTGTTTAAGGGACTTTAAAACTGTCTACAGAGCAGGGTCAGACTCCCACTCCCCAATCTAGCTACATCGCCCCCTCTAGCTCTATTTCTCCCCTCTAGCTCCATCTCTCTCCCCTCCAGTCCCATCTACCTTCTCCTTCCCCCTTCAGCTTCCCCAAGCTTGATTCCCCTCTCCAGCTCCCCTTCCAACTGCTCCTCTCCCTCCAGCTCCAGCTCCAGCTCCCTCTCCAGCTCCCTCTCCAGCTCCATCTCCCTCTCCATCTCCCTCTCCAACTGCGTCTCCCCCTACAGCTCCATCTCCCCTTTCAACTCCCCATCTTCCTCCAGCTTCATCTCTCTCTCCAGCCTCATCTCCTCCTCGAGCTCCATCTCCCCCTCAAGCTCCCGCTCCATCTCCCCTTTCAATTCCCCATCTTCCTTAAGCTTCATCTCCCTCTCCAGCATCATCTCCCCCTCCAGCTAAATCTACCCCCTCCAGCTCCATCTACCCCTCCAACTCCATTTCCCCTTTCAACTCCCCGTCTTCCTCCAGCTTCATCTCCCTCTCCAGCTCCCCCTTGAGCTCCAGCACACCCTCGAGCTCCATCTCACCCCTCCATCTCCATCTCACCCCTCCATCTCCATCTACCCCATCCAGCTCCATCTCCCCTTCCAACTCCTCTACTTCCTCCAGCTTCATCTCCCTTTCCAGCTCCATCGCCAGCTTCATCTCCCCCTCGATCTCCATCTCCCGCCTCAAACTCAGTCTCTCCAGCTCCATCTCTCCCCTCCGTTCCATCTGCCCCCTCCAGCTCCATCTACTGGTAGTTATACTACTTGTACAATATCCCCTTTATCAACTTATTCCATTTAGATTTATTACCCAAACGGAGAAGTGTACATTTTTTATATTTGTTTAAAGATATTCCATTTATCCTAAGTATTTTTTCACTAAAGAGTTTATGCCAGTCAATATGTAGTAATTCTGCCCTTATATTATTAAAATTGACCTTTTATCTTCCATATGCATTTGTTTTTGTTTTTTTTAGTTTATTTCGAACCTACTTGTATGATTGTCAAAAGATCAGCATTTTTTTCTTTATAACCAGGTCCAAACAAGTATGCTTTCTGCTTGGTGCTTAAACCAGTTGTGACATGAAGGTGTTATTTAGAAGGTTCAAAACCCCAAGTTTGCTTGCTAAACTACTAGTCCCTCCATCCCAATTTATGTCTAGGTAATGAAAATCTCCAATAATTAACATGTTACCCAGATTTGCATCTTTCTCAATTTGCTCAAACAGATGTTCATCCTCATCAATATTAACATTAGGTGGTTTATAACATATCCCAACCAATAATTGATTTCCCCTTTTTGCCCCAAGCAGATATCTACCCATAAAGCTTCCACATTTTTCTCGTCACATTCTGCTTGCTTAATTATTTGGCTTTAATTCATGGTTAACATACAAACATACTTTTCCTGTTTTTTTCTACCCTTCCAAAAATATGTTTATCAACTGGTAATCTATTTTATTTATTTTTAATTGTGCAGTTGTAAAGAAGAGGATTCATAGCTATATGTGTTTTTTAGCCTGAACAAGAGATATTGTAGTCCTGAAAAGTTGCAATATCAATATAATTAACTAGCTCACCCCTATTATCAGAATTTGGCATTGCACGCGCATTTTGCAGGCAGCTGTAATTTTTTTAAGGCATTTATTTGATTATTATAAAATGTTTTAATAGTGTCTTTAATAGTTTATAGTTCAACGCACAACATAGTATCACTACTAATTTCTGACATTCTACAATTTCATTATGAAAGATCTTTTGGAACGTTAGCCAAAAAGAGCCATGATTTGGGAATAAATTTGCTGAACAAGGAAAAAAAAAGCTGAAGCACTACCACTGAGTTAAAGCATCCAACTGTATGCCTACCCCACTTTATATGAAATACGAGGAATAAGTGGATATATTTAAATTGAGTCACTAGCATCTTGAAAAAAAATCTTGAAAATAAAAAAATTTATCTTTGAGAAGAGAACGTTGATTTAAAAACCCAGAAGATGTAATTTCCAAGAGGTAAGCAACACGTGTTTGTTTAAAATAATACATTTACTGACCAACCACTGGGTCTAGACGTACGTATTCAAGATTACTTTATTCCTGTCTTCATGTAAATTGACATTTACTTTGTTCGTTTTTCTTTTAAGTTCTTGGAGCATTCGTACTATTTCTAACTGGATAATTTGCTATCCTGTTATTGTGAGCCTTGGAGCAAAAAGGAATTCTCACTAGGAAGTGTGTCTTTTATAAAAGAGCGTTTATTACATGTATTTTCTTGCTATCTGGAGATTATCTGAGATACAATGGACTATTTTTCTTTTAATCCATTGGATACAGACGAGGTTTATTCGCTAAACACTGAACTGAATTGAAAATTAAATTTACAATTTTTTTTTCGCTAGAAATTGGTATTAAAGTTTCAATATTTTGTAGATTTTTTGATCTAATTCTTTTTTAGCATTTATCCATATGGAAAAACCCACAAACTACAATGAATTAATTTCATTTTAGAATTAATCCTTGTTGAAAATGTTCATTTTTGTAAAATGTTTAATACTTAATTAAATTAATATTTAGCCTTAAGACAAAAGTGAAAATAACCATAAATAGGTATGGCACAGCTAAATAATAATAATAATAATAATGTATTTAACCCCTTAAGGACGGAGTCAATAGTACACGTTCTGATCAAAACAAAAAACGGAATTTGCGTTATATGTCTGTTCAACCGTAATTCACCGCTGTCACATTAAGTGCACCCACACTTATTATATATCATTTTGTTCAGGAGAAACAGGGCTTTAATTTATCATTAACTATTCATATATGGAAAATAATGTATTATGAATAAAATAAAAAAAAATGTGAGAAAATAAGATTTATTTTTAAATTTGTATTTCCGTCTGGCATTTTAGCTGTTAATGTCATAATACTGTTAGGTTTTACTGCAAACAAAATGCACATATTTGTAATCAGCGATGTCTCACGAGTACAACAGTACCCCCCATTAACAGGTTTTATGGTTTTTGGAAAGTTACAGGGTCAAATATAGAACTGTATTATACATACATATACATATATTATATATATATAAATACATTTATTTTATTTTAAAACATGTTTAATGATTTTTTTTTTACACTTCCCCCCAGCAGAGGGACTGTCTGACATTTCAGAGAGTCCCCCTGCTGGCAGATCCACAGCGAACTATAGGGGGCCATGTGATCGCTCTTTGAGAGCATTCACATGGCCCCCGGGGGCCTCATTTGCCGGGGGAGGGCTGCCTGGGCTGTCAGGCAGTCCTCCCGAAGAGGATCGCGGCGGAGGTAAGTACACCGGACCTCGAAGGGCTGCAAGTCGTTACGGCGTTGTATGCCGCCGCAACGGCTTTACAGCCCTTTTAATGCAGGACATAGAAACATAGAAACATAGAATGTGACGGCAGATAAGAACCATTCGGCCCATCTAGTCTGCCCAATTTTCTAAATACTCCATCTCCCCTCCATAGAACGCCGTAACGGCGTTAAGGGGTTAACCAGGAAAGGTTTATTCAGATTACTCTGGTTTTCAAGTACCTCCTGGGGATGTTACCTTGACCCAACATCCAGGGATTGTTACTATTACCCAATTTAATGGTAATATAAATGAAAAAGCAATAAAGATACAGTTGTATTGATCAAACGAGGAATGACAATTGTGCTTGTGATTTCTTTTTGTTTTGTTATTAATACAAATCTAACAGAGTAATTTAACCCAAAGAAGAAACACAAAGTACAAAAACATACAAATATTTTTATTTCAGACATTTCATGATATTGTTAATATGTCACGATGGAAAAAAATGCACGGTATTTCTTTTTTTTTCTTTCATATATTTGAATTTTTGAAACAATGCTTGTGGGCAAGTCTGGGTACAAATAGCAGGCATGGTTTACCCAAAATTGCTAGTGAGTATTTGTGTTGCAAGCAGATATTTTATAAAAGTTTTATAAAATATTTTACCGGGAAGGATACATTGAGATATCTCTTGTTTTCAAGTATCTACACGTACACTCATGACACACACAATGACACATACGTTGCGGTTCTTCCTTACTTTACAAGTAGTTTCCCAAACTGGACCGTCGGTAGGTCTGGTTATTCAGCTCACTGAAAGCATCCCACTTCTCTCTTTATATGCACAACAATATGACGTCATCATGTTTCCCGATACCCTATACCACAATACACTGCATATTGCAAAAGGAACATTTGGATATCTTTGCTCCTCACACCTCTCCATCTCTACCCATGGCCTTTCTTTCCATGGCCACACAAGCGTTACTTTGAATGACCCTAGGCTATGGTGGACTTTTAGGGAAATCTCCCAATTTCTCAGACAGCCATTCCAGCCCTGCACACTGTGTAAGAACTTTAAAAGACTTTTAAAGGGAGAAACATCAGGGAATGATGGAATTGGCTTATAGATAGAGTAAAATTTGCAAATTGCTCCACTTATGAGCATATGTGTGCAGGGAGAGAGGAATAGGAGACATCCTTGCATTACAAGATATGTTCAGGGCATAAGATGCTCTTCTTGTAGAAACTGTCTATCACGTGTATGTAAAGTGCTATGCAATCTAGTTACTATACTTTTTTCAGAAGGGAGATAAGTTTTTTGGTTTTTTTTATCGCCGCAGTAGTAACAACAGCGTTAATGTTAGCACTTTTATATTATCAGTAATCCCATACTTTCAAAATGAAATCACATTGGGACATTCGGAATATTAAAATAACAGTGATCCGTTTTGGTTGAAATGGCTGTAATATACCTAATACTTATTATTTTTCTTCAAGGAAATGTTTTAGAATGAAAAATAATGAAGGAGAAAAAAACACAGAAACACAAAAAGGAATAAAAGGGGGGGTAAAAAAAATCACAAATTGTTCACGCTGTTTGAGTCTCCAGTAGGTGGAATAAACTAGCCAATTTTTCCCTTTATACTAACTCGTTTCTCCTGTGTTTTAATGACATATGCATTCTTTAATTAGTCTGTTCCCAGATCTATTTTTCTCACTGACACCAAAGGTTTACATGAGAATAGCATGAATACATAACCACAGGTTTCAGGACCTTCAGTATTTTGAGCAGGACTTCAAAGGAAAGACTTCAGTTTGGTGTGAAACAGCCCCCATGCTGTGGGTTTGCTGGAAGACCATTATTAAATACACAAAAAAATGGTTATTCATGCCCAAATAAAATTCAACATTTGTGCTAAAATGCTTGACTGAAAATTATGACATAAAAAAAATACAAAAATTAATTAGCTCTAAAACACAGTGTTTAGTAGGCTAAAACCTTAAAGTATAGTGTAGTAAGAAAGACAAAGAGTATTCAAAATGAGTTCCTTAGAAATCTGCTTAACTCTTTCTTCACTCTTTCAGCCTCCAACAGGTCATTTGGTGGCATGTCTGATGCCGTTATATTTAAGTGTAGCTGAGCGTCACAACTCAGACAGTGGCTGTATGAATTTGCGCAGAGTGTTCCCTATAAGAATTTATAGAATTTGTCTATCATATAGGGCCTGGACTTTTTTGGCCTACATTGACATCCCAGGATGTTGTCCCACGTTCGCTCTCCATACGTCCAAACTAGAACTAAGCTACTGCTACTGAGAGTACGGGCCTCATCTCTCCATCACGATTTACATGGATAACGCACTGTACTATATTTTGCTGATTCGTTTTAAAGAGAGAAGACTCAATTCACAAAATGGAAGCAAAATGTTTATAAGAAAATGTACCACGTTCGGTATCTCTCAATGTACATTTCTATATATAAAATTGCGTTAAAAAAAATATTTTAAGATATTGTTACCAGTAGTTTTATTTAAGTAGGAAAGTCTCATGAGGCCCAGCTGATTTTGAGATGAAGAGGTTACTGCATTGTGCCCCAACATTCAAACCATGGTCAAAGTCCTTTAGGTCATATATTTTTCCATTTAGGTCATTTGGTTGATCAGAAACTAAACCCCTTCACCATGTATACCTTGCAAGTGTTCCTATTTAATAGGGACAGTGCCAATATTGGCCCCAAATCCCCCTGTCCCTCTTTTCTAGGAGCTGCATGTTTTTGGGGTGTTTAAGTATAAAACAGAGCTCCACAGCAATAATACTACAAGAAATGTGTTAAGGAATTAGTCTATAAATAAGATACATTGTTTTTCTAAATTACATTGAGTTCTAATTCATGTCAACAAAAATTTCTCAGAAAAGCAACCCCCCGGCCACAACCCCAAATATTAAAGTGTCCACTTCACGCATTCCATACCAGAGCTGTATTTTAGCTCTGGATATTGTGAGTAGTACCTTATTATCATAATTCCAGTATTTAAGTGTATCTACATACTGTACCATTGGAGTCTCGTCTTTTTGTTTTCTCCCCATATGTTCCATTGGATTACAAGCCTACACCCGTGACGATTCATATTATCTGCTGTCCCACAAGAACTCTCCTTACTACTGTGGATTACACTACATTGGACTAGTGTTAAATTACTTGGACTATATTTTATTATCCACTCATATATACCACTTTTTTTAATACTATTTTTTAAGGCCCACCCTTTCCGTTTTCTTTGCTTTGTTTTAGACTTATTTTGAGGGGACTAGAGGGGACCCCTTTTGCCTTAGGTGTGCTGCCTGTACCCTTTATACAACCAACTTCCTGTGGCACCTTAGCGCTGACCCCACTTTGACCCTTCTCAGCAATGTTCTGCTGGGTCCAGGCATTCATGTGGATGTTACTTTGACATGTACCACCTGCCTAAAGATTGTTTCAGACCTCATACACCCCTACATAGCAGTGATGTTCTCTGATGGCAGTAATTTCTTTCAGCAGGATAATGCACCATGACACACTACAAAAATTATTCAGGAATGGTTTGAGGAACACATCAAAGAGTTTAAGGTTTTACCTTCGTCTCAAAATTCCCCACATCTCAATCTGATTAAACATATATGGGATGTGCTGGAACAACAATTCTAATCCATGGAGGCCCCACCTCCCAACTTGCGGCACCTAAAGGATCTGCTAATGTCTATGTGCCAGATACCACAGGACACTTTCCTGTGTTGTGACTAGTCAGTGTATGCCGTTGAACTAGATTAATTGCCTGAATACAGCTTTATTCAGAAGCCAGCCTTCTAGCTACAATAGTAAATACCACAGATTTTAAAATTGATTTCTAAACATAACATGCAAATCAATGTATTTTTGCAGTCAACTCGCCACAACTTGGCTTTGGTGAACTCTATATCTTTTTAACATGGTTGTAATCATTTCTACATATGTTAAAGGATTTCAATTAATATTTCAATTGTCAGTTTGGAACTTGCCCCAGTAAACTGAACTGTGAACTCTAAATTGTAGGGCAAAATAGAGAGCTAAAAAAATAAAATAAAAATCAGATTTGGAGATTTTCCCACTTTAAATATTTTATGCTAAAAATTGAATTTCTCTTGTCAATTCTCCACCAATTTCTAGATTAGAAACTTACCCATAATGTGTTTGACAGTAGGCAGCCCATAGCACACAGAGCAAAATTTAGTCAAAGTTCACTAAAAGGTCTCACAAAAACCTCTCATAAATCAGCAGAACCTCCTGATGACCCGCAAAGTCTTCCAGACAGTATATATGTTTCTTTGTCTGAAAAAAGCATGCAACAATTAATTAGTCCTAAATGGGAAATTAAACAGTCATGTCAAATGTTATACGTGAGGTCATAGAGTGAGAATTGACCTGAGAACTGTGTGCAGTTCTAGAGTGATACCATGTACACATATCGTGAGCCAAGAAATTGAAATTAAATAAAGTTTGTTGCTTAGCGTGAATATACAACATGTTTTCTGTAATGGAGTTAGTAAATATCCAAACTCTGGTTAAATTGAATTAGAATATTTGATACTTGAAATACTGATATTAACTATTTACATGACTTGTTTCTCGTCTCTAGAAAACTATACTTAAAGTGAACCATGAATGGTTCACCTAAACAAATAACATCGCCATAAGCAACAAATATTGAATTCATCATACATATCAATGATATGTTTAATATTCTTAGGAGCTGTTATAGTTTACCTATTGTCTAGCATCCCAGAGTCGCCGTGCTTGCTGTTATGTGGTTGTCATGTTACTTTAACAACCACCCTCTGGTCCTGCATTGCTCCCTCCTCTCTGCACAATGATTGACCCTACTTTCCCCCAAGAAAGGCAACCATCCCTATTGGTTCCAACATGCTGGCATCGTTAGGTATGATTGCTGTACTTGGGACTTTCCTGCTAATCTCACCAGTGTAAAAATAGAGTGATCTGCCCCTTTGTTCCTATATCCCCCCACAAGTGCAAGATGCATGTTATGGGGCAGGAGAAACCTGCTTGAAATCTGTCACAATAGCCTGCCTATAGGGCTCTGCTTCTTTCCTCTGTTACTCAGTTGTTGGTATAGACATCTGTGCAGTTGACGTAAAAGATTATGCTGAGAATTAACTAGCATTTCTCTAGCATTTTGCAGCTAGCGTAATCTAAAGATTATATTTCAGGTCTTTAGTGAGAATATTATATCTTAGCACCATAAATGGTACACTTAAAAGGTTTACAATTTTTCAGTCTTATTCTATTTCTCTATCTATCTATCTATCTATCTATCCATTTATCCATCCATCCATCCATCCATCCACTCTCAGGCAACGTAGCCCCATACACAGCAAACTGGGATGCTCTCTGTGTTCTGATAACATTCTATCATGACCAGCATTACGTTTTCCAGCAATTTGAGTTACAGAAGCTTTTAGTAGTGTGAATTGACCATATGGGCTAGCCTTCAATACTCACGTTCTTCTGTGAGTCTTGGACGCTCATGACCCTGACGCTGGTTCACCGGTTGTCCTTCCTTGCACTACTTTTATAGGTACTAACCACTGCATACTGAGAACACCCCACAAGACTTTACGTTTTAGAGATCCTCTGACTCAGTTGTCTGGCCATCAGTATTTGGCCCTTGTTAAAGTCACTCAGCTCTTTTTGCTTTTCGATTTTTTCCTATTTCTAAAACATGAAATTCAAGAATTGACTGTTCACTTGCTGCCTAATATATCCCATCCCCTTGTAACAATATAATCAATGTTATTCACTTCACCTGTCGGTGGTTTTAATGTTGTGACTGATCACTGTATATTGATAATAATAATAACACAGGGTTATTTCCACGTATAAAGTTAATTTACTTCACCTTGTTATGAGACATCAATGGCTGAAGCTAACTCCAGTTAATCACAACGCTGCAGTGCTGGACAACATATAGGAGTTATGAATTCTGTGTGATGGACAGTTACTCCAAATTCCAGAATTCTGAAATGTTATGTGAAGAAATCACAAAATAAACTAAATGGACAGTGGATGAAACAGTTTTGTTTGATTAGTGATTTACAGTTCTGTGCTAAAAAAAAAAAAAAGAAAAAAAGATGAATAATGGAGAAAAAGATGAATGATGGTTAGCGGACAGCCACTAAATGTTGGTTTTATTTAAAGTGACCACTGGGTGGAAGGAGAAGAAGTAAAACAAATCATCTATATTTATGTATTATA